CAATTTCCCGAGATTTATAATAACGTTTTCACTTGTCAGATCCTTGTTTAGATTGGCAATANATATCTGTGGTGTTACTGATAACTTCTATGATTGACGACGTCCCGCATTATTGTGAAGTAATGTTTTTGGTGATGGGATGGCTGATAAATTTGATTGCTGGAAGTATAACGATTGCCAGATATGGACTTAGGAACTCAAAAACCAACTGGGTGTCTATAACTCCCTCTACATCAAATAGGGGTGTTGAATTAGGGTTGGGCGTTACTTCATTGATCCTATCGATAGTTTTTCTTGCAGATCTCATAACAGTGTTTGCCAGTGGAAATGAAGACGACGACTACGAGTGAAACTTTGTTTATGTTGAAAATACAACCTAATAAGATGAAATATATGTATATTTTTTAGAAACCCAGATTTTATTTTCAATCGAATATGTTTGAATTATCACATATTTGAAAATACCTATAAAATGAAATCTGCGATTTTAGTCACAGATATCTCAACTCAATTTGGATATCTGTTAGCCCGATGAAGCAGACTGTAGAAAATCTAGACCCTTTCGCCTCTAACAGATGAAAACTCATTCAACATGTACATTGTGATTCTAGAGTAATTGAAGTTGACTGAAAGACATGATAAGGAGTGTGATAATATGTACCTACAATACGGTGGCCCTGAAATAATTTTCAAAATCTTTAGTAGGAGTAAAACTCATAGTTGAATGTAAAATGTTCAATTGTCTATATAATTATGAAAGCCAGAAGTTCTAAAGAAATCTTGCTAAGTGAGTAAACAGTTATGACGAGGGTGGGAAAATGAGGTGCGATCTCATTTCTGGAATTATTTGTTGACCAGAGCTGGTTTGCACACCTTTTATAAAATTTTTGGTCCTTCTGAAAAAATGAGGAATAAATTACTTTCGCTGATTGAGATCACACAAAACCACAACAATTTGTGAGAGAGCTCACATAATTTTGTTTTTGTTTCACAGTTTGACTTAGTTCTGAACACCTACCGGTTCTGGTGCAGGTGTTTTCAATCGCAGACCCAGGACAGCGGTATCAACCTGCGGAGGAACCTATGCGACTGTATTTCTAGACATTTACGCTGTTAAATTGTGTGCGGAGAGATTTCAAGAATCCAATCTCATACACAAGTCAATAATTATATTTTAGGACAGTCAAGAGGCGTTGGAAGCTCTTGGCTCCGACGTCTAAATTGCTAACAAATTGCCAAAAACGACCTTCCTCGATAGGAATACTCAAAAGATTGTCTCTGGTCATACTGGCCTGGAAGGCATTGAGGGTGCCCTTGCAAAGGAGGGTGCTGCAACGGACCAGAACCTGTCATTGGCATCGCTTTAGGCTTTGCCAAACAAAGATTGAACACCTGGATGACAAGAAGATTTATGGACTACTGGCAGAATCTTCCAGGATTGGTTCACTCCAAGGCGTTTATTAACCATTCGAAGCTTGATACCAAACATATGTTGGACTACAGTAGGGGTGAACTACGATGTCTAAGAGGCCATCTTACAGGACACTGTCATTTGAATCATCATATGCAGAGGCTCGGACTGTCGGAAGACAGTATGGGTCGCCTCTATTTGGTAATATCGAAGTCAATTAGATAATCACGCATATGCAGGTTCAATATTTTTTCAAAATTTTTTGATAGCGCGCAGAAGATGTTAATTGGCCGGAGATCGTCTAAACTTTCGGGGTTTGAATTTTTGGCCAACGGAAGAATATTTGCTTGCTTCCAGATGGATGGATAGGAATTAGTCAATATGCAGTAGGTAATTGAATAAGTGAGTGATATGTGGAACATTTTAATGCTTATCTCATCAGGTCCTACATCATTCGACTTCGTGTTCAGAATAAGCCTGAAGATTTCATCGTTATCAGTAGCTTTATAGAAGTTGGGATTGTTTATATTACCCAAAAAAAAATCATAATTTCATCATCAGGGGAAGAGTTGCAGTTGGATATACCTTCGAAAAATTTGTTGATATCTTCAACGTTCAGTAAGTGGTCTGGAATGTATTTGAGATTTTTTATGGTGAATATTCAAATCGGATAAATCTTTTCATATCTGTCTATTTCTTGTGAACCGATGATATTGATATATGCTCGTTTCTCTAGGTTCACAGAATGATTGGTTAAATTCCTCAACTCTTTGTAATACTTCCAGTGATGCTGTTACTTTGTCTTTCTGAATCTAATAAGAGCTCTATCTCGTAGTTTAAACATGAGTTTCAGGTTGTCTGTGAGCCAAGGGGCCCTTTTCTTGGAAATTTCAACAGTTTTAATAAAAAAATGTTTTCCAAAAAGATCGGGTAATGTCCCATTGAAGAGTCAATTTGTCATTGATATTTTCAATGTGGTGAAGAGAACGAAAATCCGTTGCCTGTAAATCTAATGAAAAAAGATCTAAATCAAATTTGCTGAAGTCTTTAAAGGTGTACATGAAACTCTTATCTGCTATTTTGATTAAGCTCCCCTAGTAAAACACTAAAAAATGATCCGAAAATGAACTACAGTCGATCGTAGTACAGTCGGATATAGTTAATAATTCTGAACACATGAAAACGTCTATTTTAAAACCTGCCGAAGAGTACCATGTGGGTTGGTCTACTACTTTTTTAACAATATGAATCTAGAATGTGATCCAGTTGAACACCTTGACTATTGGTAGGATCTGAATAATACACATTTAGATCCCCTGCTAAAATAATATTTTCAAATTTGGGACAGATTGAAGATGAATGGTCCTCTACGGCAGACAAGAATATTGGAAGAGGAAGATTCAGAGGTCTTAACATAGAAGCAACAGCGTAACTTCTTTTTATAAATGGTGAATGTTACCCAGACTTGCTCAATTGTTTGATTGAGCATGTTCTGTATTTAAGTAGCCCTGAAAATGTTCCTGATAAAAATTGCACCACCCCCTCTCCTTCCGTCACCTCTATCTTTACGAAAAGTTTGGTAACCATCAAAGCCAATTTCCTCAGTTGTTTTATACCGAGTAAGCCATGTTCCAGAGACGGATTGTTAACCTTATACTCATTATTAATTTTAGTATCTGAAGTTATAAAAATTTATTTACACCACGCACAAGCAACACCTGTTGCTTCTGTGGGTTTCCCAATGTTTATTTGCAAAATGTATAGCCTTATTATGGTTGCTGTTTTTTTTTTTGTGTAAATAAACGATGATGATGATACAACGATCAATTTCATTTTTGAAATCTATCTAAAACAAAACTAACGTAATTACAACCTTCATTCATCACGCGTGTCGCATCAGTTCATCAGGCCGATTGAATGATTTAGTTTTACCATAACTCTTACCACATTATAATCAGATCATTATTTCAAATAAGGTTAAGGCCCATATGAATAGGCGAAGATAGAGTTGAGCAATTACTTTATTTCATTTCCTGAAGACGCCAACTTGATGGTTGGTGAAACTCGAGTTAACATTTATCAAGATTGCTTATAATCAACATTTTGAAACCATTTGATGGATTCGGCCGTTACTTGTTGAAGATTCATAGTAATTTCATACACTACACCTTACGATTTGATTTTCACATACTTTATTTTCAAAAATATCACATATATCACAGTAGCTTTTTTATACCAAAAAGTTGCTGTGATGGCGGAACATGTCGTGATATATATTAGAAAACAAAGTTTGTGAAGAACAAATCGTAAGGTGTAGTTTATGAAAATGAAACCAGGCTTTTCAACTCATTCTTAAATACATTAAGTGATATGCTAAAATATTCTAAATCGAAATGATATTTTGAGTGGCATGTTATGACAATACAGGATGGTGAATGGTGTGAAAGGCACCAGTACAGACCTATTAAGAATCCTAGGTGGAATATTCTAATCATGTCTCACATATCTTAGACTACAGTATATCATTATGTCGGGACTGGTGATAGGTTAGGTTAGGTATTATTTAGACAAACAGCGTATATCAATAATAAAATTCATTAACAACAAGATACATAGACAAACAAAACACGAAAAAGAAAATTACAGGGTAACCTGAAGGAGCTAACGCAAAGTCTTTTCTCGATCAGCGAGCTCTAGAGCGGGTTTAGTTCTCGGCGGAAACCTCAGAATAAGAAATAGTTCCCGGCCGTAATTCCAGAACAGTATGAATTGTCTCGGCTAAAAAATGTGTTAGAAGTAACTGACAATGGTCGGAGTCATAAATATAGTCCAGAAGGGTCAACCATTTGGGTCCCAATCCCTAGTCTTGATCCATAAAAGTGTTGATGATGAGTATCTACTTCCAGTAGGTACATCCCAAGTGGTGTTCTAAATATTCCTGTTTTTCGGCAATAAACTTTCGTTTCGAGAGAAGAGAGCATTTCAGTGGTATGCAATGAGGAAATACAAATTCAAAATAAAAGAATTAATATAAAAACCCAAGCAGATGGATATTTTGAACGACTGCTCGATAATAGAGTTATGAAAAGTTAATTTCCTAAGAAAGATGAAAATCAATAAAGAAATAAAGTTTTTCTAAACCTAGTAGTTGTAGGAAAACCCTACAATTATAAGCCTTATATAACACAAAAAAAGTGATACATTGTGAATTACTGACATTTTTGGACATTCCTATCAGTATATCCAACTTACAATGGCTCTATTAATTACTAATCATAATGGTCCCTGTAACTAGGTCTACGATCCAGCATTATACCCAAATCTTGAATATTTACTCTCTCTTCAAAATTATATCTTAATTTGCTCATATTTTATGGAACCCTTGGCTACAATTACCTTGAGGTTATTTCTTAGGCACTAGGTCGCTACAATGTTCAAAAGTCACCCTAAAAATTCAAAATTGAATATTCAAAATATATTGAAACCATTTGTCGTTTTTAATTGTTTTAACCAGCAATCAGCTGTTATTACTATTCTAGACACAATATAGTTAAGGGGTACTGGGATATTTCAAACAAACACAATACAATAAATAACTGAACAAATCTAATAACAGATAAATATTTCAAATTTTCAGAGAAACAGGTTTCTCGTTGTCTAGAGCATCTTTGTAGATGCTCAAAATCGGCTCAACCTCCTCCTCTAAAAATTCAGTGACTTGATCCGCAGCTCTACCAATATAAGTTGACGGATCTAGCAGGCTCTGGAGTTCAGCAACAATAGGTCTGAAATAGGGGTCCGCCCTCACTCTATCCAGAAAATCATTATCTTTTCCATGTTCCTTGACCTGAGCGCCAGCTTCATGGGATAAAACCCTGATTTTTTCGTGGCACTCCTGTCTATCTCCGCCCTTTTTCACCATAGCCATGATTATGTTCTCTGTCGACATAAATGGCAGCTCTTGGTTTATTCTACGCTCAATTACTTTGGGATAAACTACAAGACCTTGAGTAATATTTGCCAACACTGTGAGAGCAGAATCTGCAGTTAAAAAGGCTTCAGAGAGAGTGATTCTTCGGTTGGCTGAGTCATCCAATGTTCTCTCTAGCCACTGGGTGCTATGAGTGTTAGCTGCATTGCCATACAGTGTTATTAAATGACGTGCAAGTGCACAACACCGTTCCGATCTCATTGGGTTTCTTTTATATGCCATCGCTGAGCTACCAATTTGACTTTTCTCGAACGGTTCTTCAATTTCCTTGAAGTTAGCCAGCAGCCTCAGATCCGTGCAGGTTTTGTGTATGGAAGAACCTGAAAAAAATTAGTCGATTTAAATTCGCTTACCCTTTCAAGGATTTGGTGACTGGATACGCTCAGAAGAATTGTGGTAACAAACTATAATAATATTGAAGTGAACTGAAAAACATTTTGACACTGAAAGTACTATCAGAGGGGTGTGACGGTACTTTTAAAGACAGTGTTTGGTTGACACATTCATCTTTATTTCTGGAATTGAAGATGAAAGTGTCAACCAAATCAACTTTGAGAACAATCTTAGCTTCAATAACCATATTTACTGGATTTTCATCAAAAAGAAAAGTGCTGTATCATCCGTGAATAGAATTGCTTTTTGATACACACAGTTTTTAACATATATATAGATATAATAATGATCCTAGGATAGGTCCTTGACGTATGGTCGGAGTAAACGATATTATGTACTCTTAAAGTTGTCGGCACACTCAAAGGCCAAGAAAACCAATACATAAAAATGAACTAGATTTTTTTCGGGGTGCCAAAGAAGAGCCATATTTTTTTTAGTTTTGCTTATATGCGCACTCAGTATTTTTGACCATTTAATAAATTTTGTTGTAAGTTACATTCGTTTAATAATCACCCGTCAACTTTTTTTCCCTAAAGCGACCTAAAAAAAAATTATTGCCATTTTAAAAAATATCCCTAGACTTTTCCGATGTGTGTATATAATATTCTATAGTTATTGTGATTCATATATAATCAGAAATGATTATTGAATAACGAAATTAGGTAGATTCCTAACTATATTATTAAAGGGGAACTGTTGGAAGGTAGGTTGCACTATGTCGTTTGCTTGAACTATACTAGCTAAGATATATAATTTGGATTCATTCACTTCAACACAATATTTTCTGCCTCTCAAGTATTCTTTCACTAAGGAATATTCCAACACACTTATTTCTTCTACCAAGATTTATGTTGAAATAAGTATTCAAGAATTCACTTAAATAGTTGTTGAACGTCCTTCACCGAGCCTTATTATTTTCATTGGATAGGTCATACTTTTTGAATGAGTTGGAATGCGTGAAATTACTGAAATTCAACATGCTTATTTATATTTGTTCTCAACTTTAGTAAAATCTTTTTGTTGGCTATATTTGGATTATCACCCTAAGACGATTGTGGATACTAACAATAGTAACGACTTGAATTAACTTGGCTTCTTGGAATCTTTCAATTTTTAATTTTTTGGTTGTTGCTTGTATTTTATTTCATTGTAATTTAAGTTTTTTTGCTTGATATAATTGTTATTTTTCAGCTAATCTCGTGACATGGGAACTATGCAACTGAGGCATATTCCAGTGCTGATCTAACTATAGAACAAAATAAAGTTTTGAGGGTGTTACATGACAACTCTTTATCATTATGCATCATCCCTTTGCAGAAATAATATTGAAGTTACTTTAGAAGTTCAGTTGTTGATCTAAAGTAATCCCAAGGTCTCTTATTTTGTTCACCCTGTCGAGTACTTTTCCATCAATATTATAGTCATAATGAAGGATATTTTTTGACTTGGAAAAAGTGATGACGAGCCATTTCTTTATGTTCAGGTACCTACAAGTTGTTTGTTGAAGACCCACCGTGTGTAATATCTAATTCGTTCTGAAGAATCTGACTGTCTAAGACATCATTAGGTAACTAATAAATATAGTTACAAATCATCTGCAAATAGTAAAAACTTTGCATACTGTAAATAATATCCAATGTCATTAACAAATAGACATTAACGATAGAACAATAATGGTCTACAATGTGATTCTTGTGGTACACCGGAAGCTACAGGAATTGTTTCAAAAATGTAATTATTAATTCTAACAGGAATCTTCTCATCCAATTTAGTTTAGTTTAGTTCGTTGATATAATGATTTAACTACAATCTTTTGTGAGGTTAAGTCCCCAGAATTTAATTGAAGTCATTTGTTTCAGAGAACCATTTTCTGATCTAAAAGTAAACTATGGTCATAACCTTTTGGAGCATAACCACATCTCACAAACGGGTTTTTTGTCATTACAGAGTAATCCATTTGTGTGCTTTTAAAATTTCAACTGTAGCTGTGACGCTTGTTATGGTTACCAGTAAGGTAGTGCAATTCGCTACATAACAAATCACCTACTGATATAGGTTATATGAAGCAAGGGTCTCAGAATAGAACCTGAATGGTGTAAAACAATTCGTTTGATGACTCATTGATCGTACTGTTTTGATTTATCGTCTAACGGCTTCTTTGATCTCCTATCTCAAGAAGCTATTGAAGCCTTTCAATATCATGTTTGATACATATAAGTACTTCAGAGTGGAAAACTGTTTCAAGAATTGGTGTGAATTTATGCAAAGGGCACATATTTTGTAATAAAACATTTTGTCCCAGAAAATTGGACTCTCATACTCACCTAAAGAGGAAAGAGCTCCAACTATCTGCACATCCAGTTTCCTAGTATACGTCTGCCCAGTCACCGGATACGTTTTCTCGAATCCTGAAAGAATCGCCACTCGTCTGTCGAGGGCTCTAACTTTCGCACCGTCGTTGAACAACTGCATAAAGGACGCTTGCGTTCCAGTTGTACCTTTGGTGCCTCTGAACCGAAGATTTTCTTTCAGTACTCTTAGAGCATTTTCGTCCATGAGGAAATCATACAACCAGAGGGTAGCTCTTTTTCCGACAGTTGTTAGTTGGGCTGGTTGCAGGTGGGTGAAACCGAGAGTTGGAAGAGATCTGAAATAAATAATTCACAAGTTACCAGGAGAGTAGTTGTTTTCTGATAGGCGTCAGTCCATTCAACCTACTGTGTAGGTATATCCGAGACTGGCTTCTTTAGATTTGTTTACCGCCAGTCTTCAAGCATAGCCCACTGACTAATAAGAAACGTATTACTCAGTTTGAACTCAATGTTTTTTTTTTAAATGATATCAATCAGATCAAGTTACTAGTTGATCCACACAGGAGATCGTTATGACTCCTGAGGACGCTAACTTGGTTAGCGAAAAGCGCGTTGAGTGACCGTAATTTTTGTTCTGATGTCGTGAAAGTGTTTTCAATAGATTCATTTTACGGCAGAGGTTCCAGTACAAACTATTATACTTTATATTATTGAAGCAATATCTGCCAAATTAGTTGTCATGTATTCAGTCTGTTTTGCCAAATCACCAAATCACATACAAGCAATATATCAAACCATTGAAAAATGTTTACATCATTTGAACAAAGATGATTGTACTGTAACTTTGTGTATTGACCTGTCAAAAGCATTTGACAGTGTCAGCCATGAAATTTTATGCAAAAAGATCTGTCTTATCTATCTATCTATTTATCTATCTATGCACTATACCAGTAATTTAAATAATACTGACCTATATTTTTCTGCAAATTTACCCAAGTTCTGTATAACAGATGCAATTTTTGGTAAAAGTAGGTTCAGCGCATCCTTAATGAGTATTAAATCCGTGTTGTCTCCCACAAAACAGGACGTGGCTCCCAGATGGATAATTGGTGCAGCAATGGGACACTGTTTCGCAAAAACGTGAATGTGAGCCATAACGTCGTGCCTGGTAAGTGCTTCTTCAGCAGCCGCAGCATCAAAGTCGATGTTATGAATATTCGCCTCCATTTCTTTAATTTGCTCATCTGTTATGTCCAGACCTAGTTCCTGTAAAAAATATAATAATGATAAATTTCATTGCTCCAAAGGAGTCAGTACATATATTAATTAGTCAGACGTGTTTATAAACGCCTGAAAAAGCTATTGTATAGCAAAACACGAGTTGAGTTTTTGTAAAACTGTTAAGTGTAAATTTCACAATAGTGTTTCTTGATCTTATATCCAAATAAAATATTTATCATCATCCCAAGAAATTAAATCTTTGCTTTCACGTCGGTAGTATACGTACTTCCATGAACTCTGCCCTCTCAATCTAAAGGTATTTTCATAATTTGGGTTACTATCAATTCAACGATCATATCTTATCTATCATAATTTTCATGACTGTAAGAATTGATACAGATCTCTTTTCCCACATTTATCACTTTGGGGTTATTCATTTTGTCCACTTGAATATTTGGGTGTTGTTTTTCTGTTTCATTTTCTTTTATATTATTTTGTTAGGAAACATTTCAGTCGTAATCAGTAATCTATACTTATAAAAGCATTACAAGAACTGTTAGCAAATTAAACCCCCACTTGGTTTATCATTTTCACCTTCTCAAGATATCCACGAGCTCAACCTACAACTGATGGTTTGAGGTGAAACTCATTTATCATTTCAGGACTATAATAATCATTTTGAGGCGTTCACAAAAATTAAGCATGAGCTTGCTGTCTATTAGTAAAATACATTCATGTCTCCATGTTCTATGGAACCTACAAAAGTATAATTCTCTTCATAGTTGCCCTCATCACTACTACAATACTCTGTAACATCTTTATCTATCAATTGAATTCTATGACTATTTCCAGACTTTTTACTATACTTATTATATAAATTTTTACCATCCCTTTTATATTGTCCAACTTTCTTCTTGCAGAACGCTGCAAAGTGGTTGAGGTTTCCACAGTTATCGCATTTCTTCCCAAATGCAATACATTTTCCATAGCCATGATTTCTTCCACATTTTTGGCACTGCTGGTTACTCGTTCTCGCTTGTGGACCATTCCAGTGTTTTCTAGTTGGTCGTTCCTTGGAACTAACAGCATCAACATCTTCTGAGTGTTCGCCTTGACCATTGGAAATCTGCTTGTTGTGTTCCCTGGTATTTTCCATACTTATACATACACTGACCGCTTCCTCAAGAGTTTTAACATCCTTTTGTAATAAATTTCCTCTCAAAGATTCTGATCTGAGACCACAAATCAGAATATCTTTCACTAGCGAGTCCTTTAAGTCACCTAACTCACAATTATGTGATAAATTTTTGATCTCTGTTATAAATTGTTCGATAGTTTGCCCTTCTTTTTGTTTATATGTCAAAAACTTATGTCTTTCGTACGTCAAGTTGCTTTTAGGAATGAAATGCTGGTCAAACTTCTTCAATAATTCGTCTAAGGTGTCTTCCTCATCTGCAGTGAAAGTATTGTAAATTCTCATACCTTCTTTTCCTATCAACGTGAGGAGTTGAGCACATTTCGTCGCTTCTTCCTTCTTAGCGATTTCGGTTGCTTTCAAATATGTTAAAAACCTCTGCTTCCAGAACCTCCACTTTTCGGCAAGGTTACCGGACATGACCATGGGTGGTATGCCACGAAAATCCATGTTCCAGCTTTTCTTTGATTGATGACTGACTAACTAACCTTTCACTTTTCGTGTTTGCTATTTATCAGCATCGGATGATTGAAGATTTAATATTCAATTCCAATTTCCCGACTGCGCCATGTGTTATTGAATATATATATGGACAGGATGGCTAGGGCTAGGATGTGGAATCATACACGATCTGGGCTTGACTGGTTTAATCGGTGACCCCCGAGACAGATGACAGTTGGCACTTAGGCATTTTGTAGCGTACTTATTACAGGCCGTAGCGAAAAGAAATACCAGGGGGGGGAGGGAATCCAAATTTTCCCAACCCCACCAGCAGAATTTCCCAACTATCGAAAAAATGAAAGCCGAGGGATCAGTTACTACTATAATATATTAATTTTCTTACTTAGCTATCCAAAAATTGGCTGAATGCTTATGCCCCTTAGGGTACGCACAAACAAAAATAAATTTTGGTAATTATAAAAATAATAATGGGAATTATTCTACTTTGGACCAAGGTCCTTGGTCTTCCACCATGTATAGGAATATTCAACACAAATGAAAGGAAACAACACTAAAATAATAGTATGCTTATTGTTTTCCACTATTATTTTTTTCTATCTTCACGGCCCGAAATTTCCCAACTTTTCCAAGTCGAAAAAACAGCGAAAAGTTGGGAATTTTGTAAAATTGTCACTTCAAAATTTGTGGACTGTTCTCTTACTTGGGAAAAATTAAACTTTTCATAGTTTTCAAACAACTCAGAATTTCAAAGTATGGGATCTCTAAGTTATGCATGTTGGGAAATCCCAACTTTCTCCTGGTTCTTACCCTTTTCTTATAACCTCTCCCTTTCTTTTCTCTCATTGTTATTTTTTTAATATTCATTCATTTTTTTTACTATTTTTTTTCTATCTTCACGGCCCAAAATTTCCCAACTTTTTCCCAAGTCGAAAAAGCAGGGGGGAGGCTTCCCCCATGGCGACGGTGCTGGGTGGGTTTTGATTTTTTTTTTTCGAAAACGATTGACCTGGTCGAGATTATTCATGTCTGACAGACCCGACCTGCAAGAATTTCTGCCTACCTGCAAGGTTCATTTTTAATTTTATGAGAAATGTGAAATTTTTTCATACTCAAAGGGTGGGGGTTGAATTGTTTTTTGTAGAAAATAATTGACCTGGTCGAGATTTATATCTGGCAGACCCGACCTGCAAGAATTTCTGGCAACCTGCAAAATGTATTTTCAATTTTTTCAGAATTATTGTGAAGTTTTTAGGTGGAGGTTGGAATTTTTTGTCAAGGCAGATTCGACCTGCAAGAATTTCTGCCGATTTGCAAGGTTTATTTTCAATTTTATGAGAAATGTGAAATTTTTTCATACTCAAAGGGTGGGAGTTGAATTTTTTTCTCGAAAATAATTAACCTGGTCGAGATTCATGTCTGGCAAATCCAATCTGCAAGAATATCTGCCGATCTGCAAGGTTTATTTTCAATTTTATGAGAGATGTGAAATTTTTTCATACTCAAAGGGTGGGGGTTGAATTTTTTTTGTCGAAAATGATTGACCTGATCGAGATTTATATCTGACAGACCCAACCTTCAAGAATTGCTGGCAACCTGCAAGGTTTATTTTCAATTCTATGAGAAATATGAAATTTTTTCATTCTCAAAGATTACCTACGAAAGCAATGTGAGCTGAGACCCTATATAAGTAGTCGTATCGTAGATTATTTTTTGTGAAGATCAAATACTTTATCATATTCAACTTTGTAAACTGGTTCTCTCCTTTCTAGAAAACCAAAACCAATATGATGTTCATGCTGCATGATGAAACACTCCGTTAATAGTTTCATCTTTTTTATGAATCTTTATGAAGTAACAAATTTCGAGAAGTTTTTTTATTCCAAGTAAAAAATAAATTTAAAATCTTCTGAAACCCTATTCATGCAAGAGTTCATTAAAAATAAACATTTATAAGAAATTTATTCAACATCTCCATGTCAAAAATTTTAGGTTAGGGATATAAATCAAAACATTTTCATAACAGTGCCTTATTTTTCACATTATTTCAACATATCACTATTCCGAACAGCATTAGCCATCTCGGTTAGGGTCGAATCCCAATTTTGTTGAGCAATTCTTGGAACTGCAGATGTTAGAATATTGGTAACTTTAGCAACATTCTCCTTGAAAGTTTTCAGTACCTCACTCACTGAAACCTTCTCGCCTGTTTCTTTCCAGCAATCATAGTCAGTAGCTAATGCTATTGACGCGTAACAAATAGCAGCTTCCTTTGCTAGCACTACTTCAGGAACACATGTCATATTAACAAGATCACAATCCCAGGAACGGTAAATCTTGCTTTCAGCTTTAGAAGAAAACCTGGGTCCCTCAATAGTAACTGCGGTCCCTCTCTCATGCACAAAAATATTTAGTTCCTTAGTAACTTCCAGTAACACTTCTCGGGTTTTCTCACAAAAAGCGGGTTCCATAGGTAAATGACATACTCCAATTGGATGGTTAGGTTCTCCATCAAAAAATGTTTGTTTCCGGCTATATGTCCTATCAACGAAGTTATCCAAAATAACTACATCACCTGGTTTAATTTGTTCTTTCAAGGAGCCTGTAGCAGTTGTTGCTAGGATATGAGTACATCCCTCTTCCTTCAATGCCCAAATGTTTGCTCTGTAATTAATATTACTGGGCATAATACTATGTTTTCTGCCATGTCGAGCTAAAAGCACACACTGCACACCATCTATTTCTCCCAATATGAGTGCATCAGATGGATCGCCAAACGGTGTCGATACTTTCTTTTCTCTTCTGTTCTTCAAAATATCCGGATCGTCTAATCCCGAACCGCCTATTATTCCAACCTTAACACTGAACATTTTGATCTTTGCAACTGAACAGCAATCGATGAATACAACTTTATAGAAACATTGTTAAGGTTAAGAGGTTATCTTTTATCACCGGAAGATGAATTCAAAATGGCTATTCCTAAATTGTTTACAGAGGACTTTCAATTTTAATTAACGCATAGTCATCTTTTATTGTAAGATTAAATTTTGACCACATCCAGCATCCAAAAGGAATTATATATGCAATTATTATATTAAAATGTTATAAGAATTCAACTGTTAGGTATCTAAAATAATTTTGAAGAATGAATAATTTAAAGAAATGTGAACTTCTACAGAGTGTACATAAAAATGTGTGTCTAATATTGTAGTTTCCTGAATTATATTTTATTTATTATGACAGTTTGAAAATTCAGTTTAAAAATAAATTATTACCTACTAATCGCAAGATAAAAACAGTATCCTAATAGGTATGTAAGTATACATGTACAAAATATTGAATCTTCCATATCAAAATATGTTTTAATGTCATGTGTTTTGTAGCTCAATAAATATTTATTCTACTGTGTCGTGGTATACAGTGTGGTCCACTATAAGTCTGCAACAAATGGGAAACTTTTTTATTATCGATTTCTCAGAAAATTTCATTCTTGACAAAAGTTGGTGTATGTTCCAAATCTATACCAAGAGTACCTAAAATGGCTTTATGACAAACACCATACAGGATAGGCCAAAAAATATAAAATCGTTCAGGAGTAATGTACCCTTATTTCAAAAAATATAGAAATTTGTTGAAGAAAAAAGTTGCTTAGAATTGAAAGTTATGTTCAGATACGAAGTCATGGCTTGCTATTCGATTTTTTTTTCTTTTGGAAAATTTTGAATTACCCCCGTATGATAGATATCTTTACTATTTTGATTTAATATGTATTTGAAGTAGCCACAATCAAATCAGTTTGGAGTATTTTTTATCAAATTAAAGTGTATTTGTAAAATTTACTTGGATTTGTATTTTTTTAAGGTGACCGTCAACTTCATGTTTGTTGCAATGATATTTAATAGAACTCTAGAATAAAACAAATACTCTTTTTAACGAGGCAAATACTTTACTAACTGAATATTCATATGAATAAACTGTCAATAAAAGTATAAAATTTCTTTTATTCTGACAACAATGCCTCAACTAGAACAGATATTGAAAAACAATCCAAAATCTATCGCGGATAGCCATGAACAAAAAACACATACGCCCTAAAACAATACTGTAGTTTGATAGTATAGCTTCTTAAAATTTGCCTGTAAAACGTTTTCATATTTGTCCTTAATTAAAAATGCCTCGCCCAGTATTATTAACGTTAATTGAAAAGGCAGAATTAGTTTTAATCTGTGTTGATGGTTATAAAACAATGTGCGAAGCTGCAAATATGTTCAACGAGTGTAAGTGGAATTTTAAAGAATTTCAAACAGACCGGCTCACTAGAATATAAACATAATACGGAGCGTACCTGTATGCACAGAAGAAAACCAGCTTGACGTACTTCAAGCAGTAGTAGAAAATCCTAGAAGGTCCACCAAAGAAATTAGTGATTATACCGGCATAGAAAACCTCTGTGAAGAGTATTCTCAAGAAACATAAGTACCATGCTCACAAACCTACATTCATTTGTACATTTCAAGAAAGATACTATGATTTGAGATACGATTTTTCCATGTGGATTCAGAGTGAAATAGAAGGACAACGAAATTTTCATAGATGTATTCTGTTCGGAGATGCATCTACTTTTACAACAAATGGGGTTATATCATCACAAAATTGCAGATGGTGGTCAGATGTCAACCCAAATTTTATTATTGACAACAAAAATCAATACTATCAGAAAACAAACGTTTGGTGTGGTATATTAAATAATAAATTACTTAGTCCGTTTTTTTTTCGCGAGAATTTGAATGTTACTTGAACTTTTTGGAAACTGAAATAGGAGAGTTTTTGGATGATATGGTATTAGAAGAACGGCAAAAGTTATGGTTCCAACATGACCGATGTCCTGCCCATTCTACTAGAAATGCTTCTCAGTGGCTGAATAGGACATTTCGTAATAAATGGTTAGGACGAAATACCGATCCTCGATGGCCTCCTCGTTCTCCAGACCTTATACCTCTAGATTATTCCTTATGGGGATACTTAAAACAAAAAGTCTACAGAGATCGCCCCTTTAATAATGTTGATGAGCTTGAAACTTCAATACGAGTTCATTGCAGAAATATTCCCGCTAATGTGTTGCGATCTACATTAAACGAATTTAATGAGCGAACAATTAGATGCATCGAAAGAGAAGGTGGCCATACAGAGACGCTTCGATAATTTTTATTGTTAGCACCTGTTAAGTTGTTAAGTTACCTACTGTATTTTTCTGTACTATCGCTTATTGATTCTTTTTTTTTCATGGCTATCCGCGATAGATTTTGACAGTTTATTCATATGAACATTATACTTAGTAAAGTATTTGCCTCGTTAAAAAGAGTATTTGTTTTATTCTAGAGTTCTGTTAAATATCGTTGCAACAAACATGAAGTTGACGGTCACCTAAAAAAATACAAATCCAAGTAAATTTCACAAATACACTTTAATTTGACAAAAAATACTCCAAACTGATTTGATTGTGGCTACTTCAAATACATATTAAATCAAAATAGTAAAAATATGTATCATACGGGGGTAATTCAAAATTTTCCAAAAAAAAAAAAATTCGAATAACAGGCCATAACTTCGTATCTGAACATAACTTTTAATTCCAAGCAACTTTTCTCAACATATTTGTATATGTTTTGAAATAAGGGTACTTTACTCTTGAACGAACTTTATATTTTTTGGCCATTCCTGTATGGTGTTTGTCATAAAGCAATTTCAGGTACACTTGGTATAGTTTTGAAACATACACTAACTTTTGTCTAGAATAAAATTTTCTGAGAAATCGATAATAAAAAAGTTTCCCATGTGTTGCACACTTAGTATACTGTATGCTGGCCGAAAGAGAATGTTGTACTCAATACATTGATGCTGTCCATTTCTTTCCAAATTTCAACTTTGTGTCTCTTTTCGGAGGCCAAAACAGCCCGAAAGATCAATTAGGCATTTGGCAATGATAGTGTTAAGGAACGCACTGTTCGCAATGCGAAATTTCGTTCTGGAGTTTTCAGCCTCGAAGATGAGCCCCGGAGTGGTCGACCTACAGTAATCCAGGATAATGATTTGAGGATCCTGGTGGAGACTGACTCGTTACAAACGGTACGTGGGAGGACGGAAGAACTGGGTGTCAGCTTTCATGCGATTTTTGATGGTTTGACACGTATTGGAAAACTTATTGGAAAAACTGGGAAACTGGATGGCCACTATTTGAAAGATACTTTGAAAACTTTCTCACCGGTGCCTGTGGAACATTCGTCAATCATTACTAGGCAAAAAAGACCTTCGTTGACTTCATCGATTCCCGAGCACTAAATTTTCATGCTGATGGAATTAATCGAGTTGTGTTGCGTTGGCAGAAGTGCACTGATTCAAATGGCGCTTATTTCGATTGAATTGAATAAGTATTCACTGAGATATTACAGTTTAAAGTAGACACATAAATAAGCGGACAAAACTTCTGAAACAACCTAATATAATTGTGTCAGGGCACATCATTCCGCTTTCGAATTGAATAACAATATGTTTTAGTACATTGACGTTGTTGCGGGATCCCAAAATAGTAGCTTCTCTTGGAACTTGGAACGTATCGTTTATCTACATTATTTATTTTTGAGTCGACAAGTCTATGTGCATGTTACTGTGTTACGAATTAGCAATCGTAGATGTGTTGCTTCGAATCCTCAAATTCTTTTTTAGTAGGTATCAGTCTTTGGGAGTTGTCGAAAAACATTATTCTTTGATATATAATTCACATTTAGCCTGATTATGAAGCGTGGTATACTAAAAATATTGACGTTTGTATGGAATTTGTTTTCGGTTCATGTTACTCTTTTTTTATCTATCCCGAAGTTTTGATGAGTATACATACATAAACAAAATTTAATTCCCATTTTTCCAGTTTACTACAATTGAAATATTGTTCGTATGTAAAAACAGTATAAAAATACTATAAAATGTCTGAGAACTTTTTAGCTTATTTTATTCAATTCTAAATATAGTATTATTATCCTGCATTGAAAATGATAGTGTTCCATGTGTAAGAAACATTTTATATCAATACTCTTTCATATATTATGTTGTGTAGCGTTCCTATGAATGATATCTCTTTCAATTCCATAACGAATGGGAAAAAGTAATTTCCTCAATGTTCATACGAATTTATATTGTAGTTATTTTCTTCCTTCTGTTATTTAGAGGCTTCCCATATTTTTTATTCAATCATGGAAAATTAGAACGCCAAAAAGGTTTTTTTTACAAAAAATGTCTCGCCTAAAAATATGTCAATTTGAATGGAATCATTTTGAAAAGTTATTGGGCTAAGCTGGTGAAAGTTTTATATATTACAATACTAATTTGAAATGTATTGAATATTCGAGACAAACACTGTTCCCAAACGCCAGAACTTTTCGATACGCTCTTCACTAACCAAGTTTGCGTTTTTTTTTTTCACTTTTCATTTCTTCTATTTTGGAAGAAATCAATGTTGGCAAGATTGAGAAAATGAAAACGAGACATAAGACTGAGTTCATGTTGATTAGATTTTTATGAAAGTTATGTTTTTTTGTTCCGTGCTGAAAACGATACTTCAGTTATCATTCCAAAATGTCAATTCTACTACTCCATCTTGATACAAAAAAATGTGGGAATCTTCCAAAGAAAGGAAGGAAGCAATCAATTTTAAAAGAAGTAACTCTATACATAGACGTATATATCATACAAAGAAGTAACTTTCAGACACAAACTGGAAGAAAAAGCTCTCCTGAAACAGCTACTTTCATATAAACATTGAAAATTCTTTCGAAACCAATACTTTTATATGAACACTGAATTACACAAAAAACACTTTTCTCTACTCAATTTGTATTCCCAACATTCGTTTTGGAATTAAATCAGATATTATTCGCAGGATTTCTACACAATATACTAAATGAAAGGTAAAAATTTCACTTACATGGAGCTCTGTCATCCTCACTAGTAGACATCAATGTTCCGCCGCAAGACACTTGCCTTAGGGCTCTTCGGTCTTACGGCGAAACATCGACGTCCATCAGTAAGGATGACAGTGTTCCATGTAAGTGAAAATTTTACCTTTCATTCAGAATATTGTGTAGAAATCCTGTGAATGATATCTGATTTTATTCCAAAACGAATGTTTGGAATACAAACTGAGTAGAAAAAAGTGTTCTTTGTATGATTCAGTGTTCACATAAAAGTATTTGTATCGAAAAAATCTTCTATCGTGTAATTCAATGTTTATGTGAAAGAAGAAAGGGCTTTTTTTCCAGTTTGTATCTGAAAGTTTCTTCTTTTTGCATGATCTACACATCTATGTATAGAGTTACTTTTTTTGAAATTGATTACTTCCTTTCTTTCTTTGGAAGATTCCCACATTTTTTGTATCAAGGTGGAGTAGTAGGAATAAGCCAAAAACTTTTCCTAAAATTAGTAATTCCTAAAAATATAACCCTTTCAATTCAAACAAGATTCCTCTTGGCTGGGATTTAATCAAATAAGTGAATGAATGTCATTAACGATGTCATCGATGACATAAGTAGATCAAACTTATTCTGTGACATAAAAATCGTAATTTTTATGAATGAATTGTGTTTTTTCTTATAATTTCATCCAGATTGGTACTGAAGAGCCCTAAAGCAAATGTCTTACGGCGAAACATTGATGTCTTCTAGTGAGGATGACAGTGTTCCATGTAAGTGAAATGTTTACCTTTCATCAAGTATATTGTGTAGAAATTCTGTGAATTATATCTGATTCTATTCCAAGAAGTTAAATTCCTGGGTATTCATCTTGACGCCAACCTAAATTGGGCAAAACAAATCAATCATGTATGTGCAAATCTGAACAAAGCTTTTTATGCTATACGGCAGATGAAGCCCAGTTTAGATAAAGCAGGCTTACTAAATATCTACTACACAATGGTTCACTCTCGACTTAGTTTAAATATCATGGCTTGAGGAAGAGCAAGAGACTTAAATAGAGTTTTTGTGGCTCAAAAAAGAATCCTTAGACTTATATTTAGTTTGAATTTCAGGGATAGTTGTCGGCCTATTTTTATAGAAAAAAAGATTTTAACCCTCATATCCATTTATATTTTAAAATGTGTTTTGTTCGCAAGACATAACTTATCGGTTCTTGCGACAAATGGATCTGAGCACGAACATAATACACGGCATGGAGCTTCTTTAAGAATTCCACAGCACAGAACCTCATTATATGAGAACTCCCCACGGTACAATGTAATCAGTTCTTACAATAAGTTACCAAATCAGCTGAAACAAATTGACGATGATTTCAAAACAAAATTAAAATTTTTTTACTTAGAAAGTGCTATTATAGTTACCAAGAGTTTATAAATGATAATTTGATAGACACAGATTTTACATGACTGTTAAGTTTTTAAATGGTAAACGATATTGATTGTTTGTTATTTATATATACTGACGCTCCAATTCATATGTACGAATTGAAAGATTTTATTTATTTATACATATGTCCGTTTATTTTTTATTTTTTTATTTTTTAGTGTAACAAATTATAATATAATATTGACTTACCATATGTACCTAATGTACCAACAAACGGTTAATAAACTATTATTATTATTATCATTATATGCTTTACGTTATTATTTTGAAAATTCTACTTCAGATTTGTTGGATAAGTAATGTTGTAAATAACAGACAGGTAAGTAGTAAAATAACATTCTGTTTTACATTTCAATCAATATTCAATATATTTCATAAATTCCTTGTAGAGACCTTAAAAAAGCCGAAAAAATTCCGCATACATCGACATCATCATCTCTATTCCAGGAAGTTACTACACTCTCGAATAGTATCTGTTCAGAGTCTAAGTGGCAACGATAAACACTAGTAAAATAGTTAATTAGTTTAGTGATCCAATGTTTTTTTTGAAAAAAGGTAGGTTGGGTAACAGGATCAATTTTTTCTTAAAAAAACAATTGTTTTCTTGCCGACGTTTCGAATTTGAATCAATTCTTCTTCAGGGCTCAAAACGTAGTTTTTTTTGTGTTGATAATATTACTATTTTAAAAATCATCAGACATAGATACATATAAAAAAAAAATAAAAAACATTGCAAAAAAAATTGATACCCTGTTACTCAACTAACCTTTTTTCAGATTAGCAAAATAATCAGAATGATCGAATTATGAAAACGTAATAGATTGTGCTTCGGTGTAACAACGTAATAAAATATGAAGCGTTTTCTGGCGCTTCTGTATTCAAAACATATTCGTGTGTGATTCTAATACATTCATTCTGAGATTGAAACGATGACGTCACATTAACTGATTTATAAAGTATTTATAATGATTCAAAACTAGCGTTGAGGTTGGTTTTGAAACGAAATTTGACGTTACGTCTGTTGTCAGTTTCTGCTTTATTTTGGTCGTTATAATTTATAAATTGCTGAAAACTTTTTATTAAATACGTTGTAATGATGTACAAAATGAAGTTGGGAAATGATTGTATTCACAAATCCGGTTTGAGAAAATTGAAAAGTTTGCTTTTATTATTGAATTTGACATCTGACACAAATTGAATCCTTCGATTCTGGCGAATATTATTATTAATGACGTCACTACGAATCGTTTTTGAATACACGCTCGAAACGCCAGAAAACACCTCTTAACGAAAGAGACAATGACGAACATAATGAGAGTTGCAACTCTGCCTGTGGATAGTAGAAGCTTTGTATATAGACTAACCGTAGAAGTAGAAAACTGCGATGTGAAATAATGTTCTGTCACAAATAAGAAGAAAAAAGTAACAAGTGGGCACTTTGCTGGAAAATTGTTCACTACAGTTTTTTTACATGATTCCGCGAATTGTTCTCAGATTTCCAGATGTCGAGATATTCATAGTGAAAAATTTTCGGATAAACACATTGCTTACAACATAAGTTGTTTGTTATTTTTATTCGATTCATATCGCATGTATCTTTATCACATATTCCACATATTTTTAAACGAAGTACATGATTGATGTTTCCATTAGTTTGAAGAATAGGTACATTTCATTTTTTTATTTTTGTTCTGATAATTTACAAATGGGTATGAGTTTTTTTGTATCTTTTTAAATTCTACATAGAGTATATATTTTAGTTTAATATGATGTACAACATGAATTCGGATGTTTTATCCAGAATTCCCACTTACTGATTTTTTCTTCATTTATATTATCTATTATTCGATAAAATATAAAGTATACATTTATCATTCATTGTAACACTCAACGTCGCAGTTTTCTGATGTCACTGGATCTTAGTAGGCTGTGTAGGATTTTGTGAGGATCTTTATTAATTTGTGAAGAAAATACAAATTAATATTGTATTCAAACTTTTAGAATATATTATGCAATTTTTATTGGCAACACTGGTAGACGTTACATGTTTCATTTAAACTTTAACCTCAACAAATATAATTCAAAATAAACATGTGTTTGTGACATCAACATAACCTTAATCTTCAGTGGTTTGTGAAGTGTTTGGATTTAGAATATTGTGAAAGTATCTTTTAAAAATGTCGGAAGAAAAACCTTGTAACTTCCATGAAATGGAATTAGACGATAGAATATTGAAGGTAGAATTGACAATACATTTCCATTAATGTCATATATATTCATATATTTTGTAGGCAATCGCAAAATTGGGATGGCAGACTCCAACCCTAATTCAAGAAAAAGCTATTCCTCTTCTTCTAGAGGGAAAAGATGTTCTGGTCCGTGCCAGAACTGGGTCCGGAAAAACAGCAGCATTCGCTATACCAGTCATACAGAAAATTTTGAATTTAAAACAAACCGCTGCTCATCAAGAAATCAAAGCTCTAATATTAGCTCCAAGCAAAGAACTGTGCCATCAAATATGTGGTGTTATCAAAGACCTTACAATCAAGTGTTCCAGAGAGGTTAGATATGTAGATATTGCCCCCCAAGTTGAGTTGAGCGTCCAAAAACCATTGTTGGTTGAGAAACCTGATATAGTTGTTGCGACTCCGGCTAGAGCATTGAAACATGTGAAAGCTGGAAATATGACTTTGAAAACATCTTTAGAATTACTCGTTATCGACGAAGCTGATTTAGTATTTTCATTTGGATACGAGGATGAAATGAAGGATTTGATGACGTAAATGAATTTCTTTAAATATATTAGATTATTTTATCAATTGATTACCTTTTGAAGTGTTGCTATTGATTTGTTTGAAAAAAATGTCATCTAAAAGTTACAGTTTGATGAAGTTAATTTTTTCTATAAACTGCAAAGAAATCTGATCAATCTTAATGTAAGCTCCAGTCACTGCATTGGTTTTTTACCGATAACATGTCTCAATCATTTGTACCAAAAAGTATTTGTCTACATTTGTACACAAATTTGTCAACTTTCAGAAGCATTTTGAATATATTGCTGCTTCCCAGACCCACACACGATAATTCACATTCAGAATTTCAAAATTAACAACAGTCATTACTTGCTGTCATCACGTAATATACAACAGATGTAAAATTTTTGGGCATATAAAAATCACCAATGATAACTATAACAAATAACACAAACCTTCACATTGACATTGTCAATTTTAGTGCATAATACCATTTTATTATTGGCAACTCTCACAGATATCTCGTTTTAAAATGGTTTGATATTGTGGAACCATTCTTTTATGACATGTATACTTGCACCAGTATCCAAATGTTTTATTCATTGATTACATGTATGTTCTGCTTTCATGCAGAATGTGTTAAAGTTATGAGTTAAAGTTATGAGTGAAATATGATTTCACTCATAACTTTAAGCTGTTCATCTAAAGTTTCCACTTCAAAGTGACATGTAGAAGTTCTTGTTGGTGTTTCTGCAGTGACTATTTTGCCCATATCTCTGGCTTTCAGTTGTATATATTCGCTAAATTTCAACCATTGAAAGTGTCATTGAATTTATTGATAAATGCTACTAATATTGTTATAGTAAAATAGTTGTAGCTGAGGATTGATTCAGCATTCCGGCTTGAGGAATCTATTGTATAGTAAACACTTGTCGCGGTTGTGAAAACCTTTTATACTTGTAAAATAAGCAACTCTTTATATATTTATTGCTGTTGAATGCAAATAACTTTTTGATGATATGAATGTGATACATGTCATTTACCGATGTCTGTCATTAAAATCCTATACAGGGAGTTCATATAACATATTTCCTTTAAAAAAAAGTAATACATTTATGAATTTCAATACAGAACACTGCCTTTGAACTTCAGAGGCAGTTTTATCAGACGATCCCTGGTCAATATCTTCAGAGACATATGACGGTTAAGTAAAGTTTTTTGAAGTCTGTGGCAGGGTGATTATCTTATGTAGTTACATAAGCAACTTTGTATGTAATTACTACCACAGTCAAATGCAAATAACTCAAATGCACATTACACGATTTACCTCGTGCGGAAAAAAAATCGCCCGGGCAATTTTTCTTGATCGACTGTAGAAGAGCACGAGACCTTTCACATTGTACGATTACAACACGGGCACGTTTTGTAATCGTGTGCCTGCCGTCCAGTGCCACTAGAACCGCATGGCTACCGTATCGTCCTCTAGCTCAGTGGCCCTCGTGACCTTATGCACGCTTGCGCACTAGACGGTTTTCAGTCGTACGGGAACTGTCCCCAGTGTTGTTTCTACTGCGTTCAGTTTTGGTGAATTGTTTGCAAATTATGGAAGGGGTTGATGTTGAAGTTTTGATATCGCTAGTTGAAGCAAAACCTGTGTTATGGGACAAAACTTTAGAAATTTATAAGGATAGAAATGCAACAAGGAAAGCCTGGGAAGAAGTATGTTTAGCACTCAATCCGGGTTTGGAGAACAATAGCGATGGAAACAAAAATGCATTTTTGGTCATCGTTTCTAAGATCTTCAAATAATGTGTGGAACATCCCGACTTCCTCTCGTCTCTGATTGATTGGGTGAATCCAGTGAAGGCGATTGCGCCTTTGTCTTTTCCGACGCCGATACAGTATCCATAACGCAATAACTTGTTCACGATCTATTGTTATAACTTAACCAGACCACATTTTCCAGTGAACTGATAAAAATGTACAATTGTAAATCGTTCAATGTGAAAAGTAGCAAACCACGATTAAAAATCGGGCGATTTTTTCCCGCACGCGGTAAATCGTGTAATGTGAAAGGAGCGTTAAATTAAATGAATGTAGGCAGTTCTACATGTCACTGATCGATGTATGTCATCAGTATAATTCTATACAGGGGGTTCATGTGACAATAGTGAAAATCTTAAGTAAACTGATCAATTATTTCATAAAAAAAATTGACTTCAGTGAAATGTTACTTTTAATTTTTTTTTCAAACAAAGGCAACAAATACTTTATTAATAATGTTTTTCAGGTTTTTGCCAAAAATTTGTCAGGCAATTTTGGCTTCAGCAACCCTGAGTGAAGATGTAAAGAGTTTGAAAAATTTGATATTGCACAATCCTGTTACACTGAAGCTAGAGGAACCGGATTTAGCTCCTGCCAGTCAGTTGACACATTATCATTTATATGCTGAGGAAATGGATAAAGCTACAATATTATATGCATTACTGAAGCTTCATTTAATCAGAGGAAAGACAATTATTTTTGTGAACACTGTTGACAAATGCTATAAGTAAGTTTTTTTGGAGTTCAAAAACTCTTATTCAAACTTATAAATCTAAAGCGAGTGTTTCAATGTGACCATTGATTATTTTTGAATGTTTACTTCTTCTAACTCAGTATTTTTTTGTTTCAAAGTGCTAGGATCTACCAACTCACTTCAAGTCTAGACAAAGGAACTGTATATTTAAAGCTATATCGAAATGTTTCAGTAAGAATCTACCCTTGGTTATTCATCAAAAATTGACATATTCAAGTAACACTCGTGAGATTTTCACAGGATAGTTTGACATTTCACTGGCATAATTAATTGAACTGAGTTTTTGACAGGATAAATCAATATAACATAACAATTGTTAATTCATTCATCAAGGAATATAGATATAGAATACAATTAACAGGTCCAACATACATATTTATAAAGAGGTATAACACTTTAAAGAATGCTTCATAATATTGTATGGAGTAAGAACATAGCTCAATAAGAACATTTTCAACTTCTATCAAATTTTTTTGAAAAGGATCTACATCTTTGTGATAGCTCAAACCAAGTACAGTGGGTCCCAGGAGCACACACGGGAAAATCTGTATAAAGGGACTGTCCAAGAAGAGAACTGCTTCAGCCTTGGAAAGCCTCGTTTATTTTTGATATTCAGGATCGAGTTCTCTGTCGATCCCATAGATGGCGTCTTTGTAAGATGAGACGTCATCAACCTCACTTACTCAATCTTGTCGTTTAAGGACAGTTTAGTTCAGCAACGCATTTATTTTTCGACCTATCACCACTGATGAAACCTATGGCAGGTCGAAACAGCGTTGTCTGGTATTGAATCATAAATGAGTTGTGTTTGGCTCTTGTTTTCAATCAGTTGCCTTGCGCTGAAAGCTGCAGTGAAAAATGGACAAATCTCATCAGCGGTCAATGCCGAAGCTTGGTTTTGTAACTTATTCCCTTGGGGAGCCTTGTTTATCTTGAGGAGGACTGAGTCTCTGCTGTCTGCTTGGTGCTGAACAATAATTGTCATTAAAAAGCAACATTGTATAAAATTGATTAAAACAGTGAATAGCAGTATTAGAGTATTTCCAAAATTTGGAATATTTTGAATGTTTGAACATTTTTCAATTTCAGGATAAAACTCTATTTGGAACAATTCGCTATTCCTACCTGTGTTCTCAATTCCGAACTGCCTGCGGCAATTAGGTGCCATTCTGTGAACCAGTTTAATCAGGGTATTTATGATATCATCGTAGCATCTGATGAGAAAGCCTTGGAGGAACCAGGAATGAAGATCCAAGATGACTCAAAGAAAAAATCTAAAAGAAGAAAAGACAAAGAAAGTGGGGTATCTAGGGGCATTGACTTTCAGTGTGTTGCTAATGTCATCAATTTTGACTTTCCATTGGATATTCAGGCATACATTCACAGAGCTGGGAGAACAGCAAGGGGTAATAATCAGGTAGGCAATATTATGGTTAATTTTATTTGCTATACTATTCCATCAAGAAGTAGGAATAATTCTATAGAACCTTCTACTTTTATAGTTCTTTATACTTCTTAAAATCAATTATGCATTGTGAAGAAAAAACATGAACTTAATGCGTTTAGTTTCATCTGCAAATATGTAGTCAGTTATATCAGGTTGAAAACCAGCACTATGTTGAGCTTTTTCCAGATGTAGAAATTGGATAAAAAATTATATTTCTTTTTATTTTTTGACAAAACGTTATTCTCAATACTTTTCTATAAACAACTTGCCACTTTGTCAAAAAACAAAAATGTTATACAAGCCTCAGTAAACTAAATCAAAAACATATAATGAATATGCAAAACCCAATGTAATGTATTTATGGGAATTCTGGAGCATGCAATGTAAAAATTTGTAATCTTATTGCTTAATAATAGTTGTATTTATTTTATTTATTTATTTATCGGTCAAGTACACTACAGAATTATTATAAAATCCCAAATGGTACGTCATGAAAGTTTCAATTGTTGAAACCAGTCAAGCATTAGAGTTCAGTTATGAACCCAACAAGTAAAATCCTTAATATAACTATTATAATTGCTTAAAAATAAATAAACCTATTTATTTTTTATCAGTCCTATACACCACAAACTATTAATAAAATACCAAATGGAACATAAAAAAAAATTTAAAAAGACAAAAATAAGCTTAAAGACATTCAACACTAATGAATAATTGAATTATAAAACTAAAACTTAACTATGTCAAGTACATTACAGAATTGTAACAAAGTCCCAAATGTTACATCATCAATGTGCAAACAAACCCTAGAGTCAAGTTATTACTTCATATTAAATAAAGGTATGCATTTTCATTTGTCAAATAGTGCATTAAGTTCAAATTAAAATTAAAAAAAAGACATGTACGAATACTAGAATAAGTTATGATTTTATTAAAAGAAATAATAAATGACTATTCAGAAGTTTAATGAACAATCTCTTCATGAAGTCGTCTAATTGCCATTTTTTTGAATTTTAAATATGACAAATGAAAAAGATCAAGTTCTGAAAAGTACGTATTGAAATTTTTTTGAAGCCTACAAGTTATTGCCATCGAGCCATAGTTAGTCTTGTGGAATCGCAACCCAAATGAAAAAATGCGATTACTTCTTAAGGATCTTGAGTTAACAGAAAGGCAAAGTTCATCTAAAATAGCTGAACAATTGTAGTGGAAGTTTATTATTTTATGAAGGAATAGAACCATTGCAAGTTTACGTCTGTCCTCAGGTGATAATAAATCTAATACAGACAGCCTCATTTTTGAGGTAAATCCATAGTAGGGTAGGCCAAGTTTCCAAATTATAGGTTTAGAAAAGCGATTTTGCACTTTTTCAAGCCTCCCTTTATGACAAGAATAAAGAGGACACCAAATTACACTATTATATTCCAAAATACTCCGAACCAATGAAACGTATAATGTCTTTATAACATCATATTTTGTAATATGCCGGGTATTCCTTTGGATGAATCCGAGCATTCTGAATGCTTTATTACAGATATTATTGATATGATCAATAAAGCTTAGATCTTTATCGAAAGTAATTCCCAAATCGCATATATATTTTTATTGCTCACTAAATAAGCAATTTTGGGTCTGTCTATTATGAAATGTTCTTCTAGAAAAAATGTGTTATTGAATACAATTGGTTAGTTGGAATGTCATATGGAAGACATTACAGTACTTTTAATGTGTTCTTATAAACAATGGAAATTTTGATGAAGGTATTTTTACAGCATGATCCCAATATATTTAATTGCTGAATTTTGACCAAAAAAACCGTCGCATGAGCATCGCTCAGGAGTTGTTGAATGACGATCCAGAATTGCTTAAAACTGGTAACGAATCATGGGTGATAGTTATGACATCGAAACCAAAGTTCAATTGTTCCAATGGAAAAGCCCAGGAGAACTAAGACCAAAAAAAGCACGCTAAGTTCAATCAACTCTCGAGATTTTGCTCACTGTTTCTTTCGATAACTGAAGCGTAGTGCATCAGGAGTTGTTGCCACATGGTCGTATGGTTAATAAGGAGTATTATCTTGAAGTTATGCGTCACTTGCGAGAAGCAATACGAAGAAAAAATTCGGGAATTGTGGAAAAACAAATGCACCTGCTCACTCGTCATTGCTTGTTTGTAATTTTTTGGGCAGAAACAACACCATAATCATGCCTCAGCTACCGTATTCACCAGATTTGGCCCCCTCGACTTTTTCACTGTTCCCAAGAATGAAGAGTCCCATGAAAAGTCGCCGCTCATCTGAACTACTTCAAAGATTGGAAGAAATGCTAGCACAACTGCATTATATCTGTATAAACATTTTTTGACAAAAATTGAAATTCAACTAATTTTTTCTACGTTTTGATGTACTGGGAGTATCAATGGACAGGGTACTGTCTGTCAAGGGGCTCTCATATGTATCATGTATCAAATCAAGTAGACGGTAAATATTGTGTTCTATGACTAGCATAGTTATTTGGTTATTATTTTGCTCGTATATGGTCTTATTAAAGAATATATCAAACTGATCATATTCAAATACATACAAACCCAACAAGATTCAATTGTTTACAATTTTATATTGAAATCAAAAATTCATCTCGATTGAATCTGAAAGAATATTTCTCAAAAAATTATGTTGTATGTTTTCAAGGAAGTCATTGTAAATATTGTAATTTGGGTTCTATATCTGTACCTCGGAGGGATACAACACTATCTTCATTTTCATAACTTTACAGGAGAGGAGTTTTAAACTTTTTTTCAACAAAAAGTGTTATTGGCACAGCTATTTATTTGAGATGTTGAAACAATATTTTACCAGAACATTCTATTTATTGTTATTTACATCATGCAGTTGTTATAAAATAAAAAAAACTAGAAACACATAATAAGGCTAATATTCTTATTCTGGCCGTAACAATTATCCGACCACAGAATGATTTCTTCAATGTCACTGCCAGGAATGACGGTATCTGCCCATTTCAGTAATGCAGATCCGATTTCATTTCCGCCACGAGCTCTTTTGGATTCGTCCCACATAATAAAATAGACTGACGAATCAGAAGAATCAAAAAGGGTGTAATTCAACGTCCAAAGTTTTCTCTTGTAAAAGCTTATGCAATTTGTTATAAGGGGTGACGGCAAACATTTTTGAAGATCACCCGTTAATACCTTAAGGGTATTGTTAGCCTTTTTGATGTCCTCGCTTTTTAAATCATACCTTAATTTAGATTCATCCTTCATCCATCATCCATCAGAACTGTCAAAAGTACTCTTAGTTCACTAACAATCCGCCAGGCTGTGTACAGGTATACAACACTATGTCCAGTAGTAATTCACATGCTTCAGAAGGATAAAACACCAAGTCCACATGGTGTTCTATCCCTCTAAATGAAAGTGGACTTGGTGTTGTTTTAAAACATGTTATATCCAGTTCTAACTGGTTTTAGACATAGTGCTCTATTCCTCTAAGATATATGAGAAAAGCTGATTTTAACTCTGTAATTAAGTCAATATGGAAAAAAATGGACATAGTGTTGTATCCCTCCGAGGTACAGATATTATTCAATAAAATTCTAGAATTGATCTCACCAAACAAAGTTATAAAGTTTTGAAAGCATCACCATAGAGGTTGGCAGACACTTTACTGACAAAACCTAAAATTTTCGGTGCATGAGAGGATGCCATGTATGTGATGAATGACAGTTTAATGTGAAAAATAATATTCAGGTTTTCTATCACATCTAACCTCACTAATTTGTAACTGAACTGATTTTTTAACCGTGTCATTTCTTCACTACCATTTATCCCACTGCTGTTATCAAACGTTACATTTATGATTTCATAAAAAGTGATAAAACTTTCAGGTTAATTTCCTCAATTCACAATAGCTCGAGAAAATACAACTAGCATTGATTGAATCCAAAAGCAAGCCAAAATCTATGAATAATCTAATTTTGCTATCTACATACCTTATACCTGTGAAACCTGATAGGCAAGTACATCGGGGTATTCCAGATTTTAATAATGTACAGGTACCATTATTGAAGCATCTACCTTCACATAGGTCAACTGGTGTCTCACACCTCGCACCTGTCCATCTAGGTGGACAATTACACCTTAAAGGCGGTTTGGTATCTGCAGATTTCGCAGAATAAATATCTACATAGCACAGTCCATGGTTTTTACAGTACTGAGAGCAACGATAATGCTCACAATGAGCCCCGTCATATTGCGGTGGGCACACACACTTAGGGCCTTGACTCTGTATTTGGCAAGTCCCCGTATGGCAATCCAGAGAACAACCTGAGTTAGTCGGCGATGCTGCTTTACAGGTCTGAAAATTTATTTGGTCAAGTTTGAATAGGTGTTAGCTAAAATAAACCTATGCTAGTTCCAGTTTAGGATAGACTAGACTCTCTCATAACCTACCTACCCCATATAAATTGAAATTTGGGAAAAGCCCCCATAGAGCACAGGGAAAGATTGAGAAAATGTATAGTCATTAAAAATCATCTATAACTCACCAAGTTATCCTTAACATAACCGTCGGCACAGGTACAAGTAGCTCCTCTTGGAGTCAACAAACAAAACTCACTGTCGTTACAATAGTCGTAACAGGTATTATTCATCTCAATGTGTTTGTGTGGATGCAATATTAAAATATCTGATATTCGAGCCAGGCTTCGTGCCAAAACAGTGATATTTCCTTTTCCAAACTTATTGATACGGAATATATCATGTTTGTGATGCGTTGAGACAAACAAGTTTTCTTCAAAGACTTCTATTTTGAATGGTTTAATGCCTGAAATTCATAATTACCAATTATGCCCAAGAAAAAAACTCTTTGAATTATTTTTATTATCAATTTCCAATACTGAAGATCAAACACTCTTGGAAGAAAAGTTTATATGAAGTTATGAATTCTGTGAAAATATGATCAATATAATCTAATAATAATAATTTCATTCTGTGATGTTATTACTGTTTGTTATTACTTTCTTGCTAATTTCCTTGTTATAAACAAATTGTATGTTTCTTGGAAAATGAATGGTTATTCAATCAGATATTTTATTGTGACTACTCAGGACACGAACAAATAATATTTACTGGTGTATACGGGATTAATATGTTAATAACCCATAGATTTATATTAAATATACTGCTTATAGATCATAAATTAAACCACATATTATGGGGTCAAAAATAACTCTATTGCAAATGTACACACAAAACACTTCCAGCATTTGGAAAGTAGAAAATGGAAATGGATTTTTTTCAATATTTTATGACTTGTAACATTTTGTAATTGAAATGGATCCATGTCTTTCTTATCGTAAGAGCATCTTTTTCACATAAAATCACGAAATCTGTTCAGCTCAAAAAATGTTTAATGGGTTATTGAACTCCTAAAACCCCCAAACTTATCTATATGTTAGAATTAAATTAATATTGTGACACTATTGGTTTAATACAGCATTTTTAAATTTTTTCACCTTGTAGCATTTTTTTGAAAAGCCAGTTTTTATCGAGATGCAGGCACTTTTTTATTATCGTCTAAAATATTTTTAATTGACTATTCAACACTTGTAGTTCCTACTGATAAATTCATAACAAACAGTATTCATATTATTTGCAGGTACAAAAAATATGTTCAAATGTGTGGCATTTCCTAAAATAAATGTTCAAAATGGCCCCCGTTTTCCTGAATACACATTCGCCACCGTTTTAAAAAGAGAAACCAAATTTTTTGGAAGATCATAGACTTCTGACAAAATCGATTTGCACTTTCAATGAATTTGATGCCTCAGTTATTGTTTGCCGATTATTTCAACAGAACATGCGTTCTCTTTCATTGAACGCCAGAAGCAACAGTCAATAAGGTTAACATCTAGACTTCTGGCTGGCCATTTAATAGGTGCATCAAGGCCCCTTCCAATCCAATGCCCAGGATATAGACCGAAAAGATATTCCCTAATTTCGTTATCGAAATGTGCTGGAGCTCCATCTTGTAAATACCACATACTTTGCCTTATTTCTAATTTTATCCCTTCCAAGTATTCTGACGAATTATTTTGTAAGAACTGTAAGTAATTTGCACCATTTAAATTATTTGGAAGAAATATTTGTCCTTTCAAATTATCATTCACAATGCCTGCCCAAACATAGACTTTGAAAGCCTTCCAGTGATGAGTCTTTTTTGTGTAAAGGTTTTCTTCGGCCCATTTGTATACGTTATGGTAATTCTTAATACCATTTATATTGAAGGTAGCTTCATTGGTAAATAAAATATGATTGATATTTCGATTGTTTTTCGTTAAAAACCAGTCGCAAAATCCCATTCTTCTAACATAATATCCATCTTGCAATTCTTGAACGGTTGTTAAGTTATTTTGGACCCCAGAACAGGTGGTTCAATTCATGACCTACCTTTTTATTACACCCTGTATATACAAATAGCCAAACTATTGAACTTTTTTGTGAAATTGTCCAAAATATCCGCTGAAATATTGATCTGTATTTTAATTGTACACATTATTATCTTGAAAGAATTTCTACATCATCATGTAATGAACCTGGACTGCAACACAAATAATAATAATTACCATCGTCACCCTGAAAGGCCTTGCTTTGAAAACGTACAGTAGAGGGAATGAAAAGAATACTTTTATTATTGTTATTGTCTTTTTTACTAGTACCTGTATCAAAATGCCTAATCACATGCCTGTCAGTTCCATCGTACAGTACACATTCCACTGCCATGGTCTTCGGATCAGCCCAGTACAACCTGTTAGTACCGTGATCAACAGCCAAACCAGTTGGCCACAGTATTCCACTACTAACAAGAACTCTCCTTTTATATCCGTCCATGTAAGCAGTCTCTATTCTAGGGGCTGGACCCCAATCGGCCCAGAACATCACTCCATGTTCAGGTACAACAATTATGTCTCTTGGTTGTTGTATGTTACCAGTTAGTAGTGTGTACACATAATTTCCGTCAATAGAGGATGCAAGCAATCTGTTACCGTCAGTTACATAGATTCTTCTTGCAGCCCAATCAATACTAATTCCTCTGGGATCCTGGAGATTTGATAATATAGTTTTGGCCACATCTGCGTCCCTGTTGGAATTATTTACAGTTTTATTTTCAATATTCCCAATATAGCAGCTTAAATCAGTTACACCTATTAAATTTCTGTAAGAAAATTAATATTTTGAAATAAAATTTATAGATGTGTGATAAAAGATATATTCTTTGATGTGTGTATTTATGTGTATGTTGATATAGTATATACGAAGTCAATTCACATGGCATAAAAACTAAATAGTGGAATATACACGAAGTCTAATCATTATTTTTATATGGGAGTCTTGTATTTAGCTCTTCGGATTGACTTCATATAGACTATAATCATTTTTTGAGATTCTCAAAGTACATTCAATCATCTATTTTTTTTCTGACTTATCTTGTTTTTGGTGCTCTTTTTGTACGTTATAGATTTGAGTTGTTGTTTCTTTTTTCGAAACAATAATTCTACTATAAACATGTATATTCCTTGGGAAAATAAATTGTTAGTATTTTTTCAATATACTGTTTTAATTTGAAAACGATAAATATTTTTTTATGAAAATTCTAGCATGAAATATACCTGTTAGATCGACCATCTTTGTCGATATGGATGACCATTGACTGAACTCTTTTGTTTTGATGGTCCGTCCAAAATGCTACCGCTTGCCTGCTAGAAGACAAGATATCTACAGCATCAACTTTATACCCTGGAGCAGTAGCTAGAGTTTTTTTCAGTTTGTTTTCATTATCTCCGGATTTGTATGGAGATATAACTCGCAGTTCAGCTTCTGCTGCGAGAACCAGCTCTGCTAGGTCCCCTATAGCTCGACACTGTCCTGCCTCAGTGTGCCTATATCCATCTAGGCACTTACACATAGTGTGATTTTGTCTCTCTTCAACACATATTTGTGAACAACTGTTCCATTTACAAGCTGATGTCACACAGTCAATTTCATCACTATTATCTTCACAATCATTGAAACTATCGCATCGCAAGGTGTTGTCAATGCATCGGCCGTTTTTGCAAGCAAATTGATTTGAAGGACATAGACCATACCTGTTGATAAAATAGCATCATTAATGATTATATTTGCACTCTTCAATGATTTAATCCAATTGATTTACCATGAAACTATTAAAATTCCAGATAATATAATGTAAAGTAAAACCCTTCCTTTGAAAAAAACAGCCAACAGATTGTAAATAACTTTAAAGCAAATAATAATCAAAACTTAATCTCTGTTATGTATTCAACAATTTCAAAAATATGGTGTAGTATTTATTGCTGTGAAACAATTCATTATCAGAATCTCTCATCTCCTTATCACTGACAAAGCACAGAAATAATTGTGGATGAAATCAATCTCTGTTGTACATTATGAACATTACATAATCAAGGCTTATACAACTTATTTTGTATTTGATCCATAGTTTAGTTTATTTCAAAGACTTGTGATAATTTCAACATTTAGAGTATAGGATTTATATCAATAAAATCCAAAGGAGAGTGGTCCGAATGAAAATAATAAATTTTTCCAAGATAAGTTGAAATACAACAACAGAAAAAAAGTGTGTCTTCTATGAATGTTGTTTTTTGAAGATAGTACTGCTGTTATCTCTGAAAGGGTAGATCCTACAAGGTTCAAAACAAGCACTGCTCCCAAACACCAGAACTACAACTCTTTTTTTGACGCTTGTTGCATTTCACCAACCAACTTCATGAATTCAGGAAATGAAGTAGTCTTCCTCATCTCCTGAGTTGTACTGTAGTTTTTATATTTGGAAGCAGTGCTTGTTTTGATTTATTCTACGCCAGAAGTTCCAGCTCTATCTTTCACTTATAAGACTGATTAATCTTTACCGACTCACCTCTTACAAATATGTTTGTCTTCATCACTTCCATCTCCGCACTGATTTTTTCCATCACAAAGGAAGTTTATAGGTACACAACGATGGTTCTTGCACCTGAATCTTCCAGCTGGACAAGCATTTGAAAAGCAGTTGAGCTCATCAGAACCGTCTTCGCAATCATTTTGACCATCACAACGCCATTGTTCATTGATGCAGAAACCATTATGACATTTGAAACCGTTATGAACACACGATTCGGTGCAATTTGTTTCATCAGATCCATCTGGGCAGTCTACCTCACCATCACATTTCCAAGCTCTAAAAGCGGAAGCAATCTCATATGAATTATGTAGAATAGTTTGCAGAACTTTTTATTTGATTTTTAATAATTCTTTACCCATCTTTCTCTGCCATCCTTCCTATTTATAATAGGGAAACTCAAACTTGAAATGTATTAAAAAAATTAATATACAGAGTGTTTATTTAACATTCGGCGAAAATTCAAGGGACTATTCCTTAGACTTTTATTCATGAAACTGAATTTGATAATGAAGTCTTCGAACCGTAATTTTCATTATAATCAATAACTTACAAAAATATGCATATTTTGGGGTCAGAACATTGGAATTCATTGTTTTTGCACTGAGTGGTACAGCCAGCTTCATCAGATCGATCTTCACACTGATATTCACCATCACATTTCATACTGCCACGAATGCACTTTCCATTGGTACATCGGAACTCGGACTCGGAACAATTTCGTGGAACGCAACCTGTAAATAGGAAGTACGTTTTGAATAATATAATGAAATAAATTTTCTGTTACTTTCAAATGTGAAGAAAGTATTCATTCACATAAAAAATGTCGAATATTTATAATTTCACCGCCACCAGTATATTTCTTGACCATAAGTTGAGGAACTGAATAGTTCTGCCAAAAAAATTGGAATTGAAATAAAACATTATATATTTATATGATTGTTTGTTGTTATTAAGTATTAAACTCCTGAAATGCGGAAGTATGTAAATGAATTTAGTGTTGTCGTTAATGCATAATTTGAGATGAGTAACAAATTAGATGACTTGAACGAAAGAAGATTGTTTACATTAGTACCATACATATTAGACGTTTCAATAATATGTAGAATAAATCCAAAATGGCAACCCTAAGGTAGGTAATCATATACTATTTACGTTTAAATATTTGTTGTATTTTATATTCGAGGAACACTTTATTGTGAGATTTTCACTAAACAGTTTTACACAAACGCAACACGTTATTGTATAGCTTCTTCAGGAGTGTCAGTAAAGACACATCTGTGTGGCGTTTTTGTAAAACTGTTTGGTGAACATCTCAATAAAGTGTTTCTTGAATATGTTATGGATTTTCATGAAGTATAGGCCGATTCCATAACATGTTATATTTATAGTGTTTAACCAGAATCAGAATTAGTGGAATGTTAGTGATTTGTCAAAGTAGAAACAATTTTATAACTTGCAATAACTTGCATTATTATCGGTTGTGGAGTTCATGAAATATGTGACCGAGTAAATTTTTATCATTAACCCAACATCACTAATTCACCTTACCACAGCAAAGTTCCATTGTAATATTCATCAAGATTGTAGTACGCTTTAGTTGCAAGGGCATCTTTTCTTCTCACGTAAATCAGTTGTCAAGAAAACAACGAGAAACGTGTTTATCTGCGATGTGAATGGAATTTCTGAAAGATTCCACTCTAAGAAAGCAGTGTTTGCTTTTTTCTTAAAAAAAACAAACGCTTCAAAATATAAGAATAACTCCCATTGGTATCAATACCAAAACATGGGTCATGTCTCTCAATCCTTTAGCAAAAAATAAAAAATGACATGAACTGAAAAAATAGAGTAGATAAAAAAGAAAATAGAAGTCTGATCTGAAGTGCAAGTCTGAAAATTCTCTTACTGGACTGATAAATGATTGTATTATAGTAAAACTACAAAATTGACCTATTACACAGGATTTGAGTATGCCAGTGTCAATCAAGTTACATTTAAAGAAGTGAAATCATTTATTCTCACATCAACAATATTTTGCAGCCCTTTTAATCGACTGCTAAAAAAAAGGCAGTAATGCAATGTACAAATATTGTTCAGCAGAAGAATTTGTAAATAAACACATGAAAATTAAAAAAACAATGGAATAGCTTTTCAAACCATGGCTTTCAATCCGCGATTTAGTTAATAATACTAAAAACATAACAAAACCAATTAAAATTAATTGATGTGCAAAATTCATTTCCCAGAAATCCTAATTGAATAACTGAAAACATTTTCTAGACTTGACTATAACTGAAATTGATAATAAAAAAGATCTTACAATTTTCCATAAGCCATACATAATTCCTCAAAATAAAGTAGTAGCATTCAATAGTATTCTTCACAGTCTATTGAATATTCCACTGTCGAAAAATTATTTTCAGGGCTGTATTTTATCAACTCTATTCATTCCAAAAAACTATGAACCAAGTATGTGGAACTTCAAGAAATAACAGTAGATGTCACAGAAAGAAAATTTATTGAAAACGATAAAGAAAAAACTTCAGTGTTGGTTAGATCAGACAGATCAACTTTATACTAACCGAATGGAGAGAGTAGGAATGGTTTCTTCAAATTGAAGACCAATTCTATATTTACAATTCTGGCAGAAGGGCATCAGTTCAATCTTGACTATGACATGTTACACTTGGAAGAGATAGATTTGAAACTAAATGTTTTGGAATGTTTTTAATCAATAGATTCAAGAATGCAGAACATTTACTGAATGAGCAAATATGATTGAGCAACGTCCTTTGATTAAATTTGTTTCCTAATGTTGAAATTGGTAATTAGTTTATATGTAAACTCAGGTAATTTAATTATATTACATGTACATAAGTAATACAATTTGTTAATGTATGAAGCAATAAGTAGGCAGAATTCAACTGGAGAAGTTATTGTCTAGTGAAATATGTTGTGGTATTGTAAACTGTTTGGTGGAAATCTCACATTGAAGTGTTCCTCAAATTCGTTATAATGGTCATTCAAGTATCGGCCAATTCCATTACATATTTCCAATATTACATTACTTAACATATATTTTTTTACAGATTCGTGAAATACTTCAAAATATAAATAATCTCTTGAAATACATGAAGTAGAAACAAAGAGAATGAAGAAGATTTGTGCTCAACAGGCGTCATCTTGGTTTGGAATGCCTAATTTTATAATATACATATTGAGATACATCATAGAAAATCATACCCTCTTCATCTGATCCATCTCCACAATCCTCTTCATAATCACATCTCCATCTTCCTGGAATACACTTATTGTTCTTGCATTGGAAGTAAGTTGGTGCGCAAGTGTGATAATCTGGATGACTGCATGTTTTTGGTTCATCTTCACCTTCGGCACAATCAAGATCCCCATCACATAACCAAGAATGTGGAATACACCTTACAAATTCAAGAAATTCAAAGAAACATCATACAATATTAACTGATTACTCATACCTCCCAGAGTTGCATCGAAAATGGTGGGGTCCGCAAGTTCTGCTGTCGCAATCTTGTTCCTCGTCAGAGTTATCTGTGCAGTCATTATCTTTATCGCAAACCCAAACGTCAGGTATACACTTGTGGTTGGCACACTTGAATTGGTTTATGGGACACGTCGCTACGGGACAGTTTTGTTCATCTTCGCCAAGGGGACAGTCTGTGTGATTATTACATCTCTGTTTCGAAGGTATGCACATCATAGGTACTGTAGCGTTGCCCTCGCACCTTGAAAAATTAACAGGCAAAGATTAAGTTTATGAAGGTTTTCAGATTTTCTGAATAGTTTCATTGAAATATATTCGTGTAATTTTTGTGCCCACTGAAATAGAATACAATACTAACTATTCTAACCATTAGTTTTCTAATAAATTTGTAAATCTAACTGACAAAGAGTTCACACAAAATGAAAAAGGCCTCAGTTATAACATCAAATCATATATTCATTCTGCAAGCATTGAATATTTAGGTATTGAAATGGAGCTGGTTCTGTGAGGTACTATTTCTAATAAGCATGTCGCAGATAAAGGTCGAATGGTTATTGCGTTACAAAAAAAACAACTATATAGGCAAAACTCTAAAAGAGGTAAAGGAAACCCTCAAGACAATATGAATGGTTGTGAATGGAAATGATAAATGCAGGACAGTGATATTGAATCCACAACCAAATCCAAACTGTATTCATTTCATTAAATAACATAAAACCAATGTCCTGATTTGACCTGTGGTGTCGTTTGTAACAGAACCATCCGTAAAAATCTCAGAGATGCTCAAAAAGTTGATCCAAACCTCTGGTAATTTCAAACCGCAATTCAGTATAATACATATTCAGGCATATACATTTTATATGCCTGTGTGTACTTCTGCCGATATTTTATTTCTGTACTGTGTATCTTTTACTTTGTCAACAAAACTAGACTTTTTCGACAATAAAGTATATTTTGATTTGATATCAATTAATGATTACGCATGATAACGCTAAATTATTATCATTTGATGTCCAAAGTTTATTTCCCAGTATTCCGCCAATTGAAACAATCGAGCTGGTTGAGCGTCTCTTAGACAAAGACCACGTAAAACCTCTAATAAAACAGAAAATTTCAGATTTACTTAAATTTGTCTATCTGAAAATTATTTTCAATTCCATGAAAAGTTGTACTCATGTCAATTATGCAAGTTTGAATATAAACTCATTAAAAACAATATGTCTTGCCTATGTTAGATCGATTCTAGAATATGCATCAACTGTATTGTCTCTGATTTTTAGATTTTTACGTATATGTGCGTACACATTGGGATTTGAGTGAAATACTTACGAATATAATACAATCTTGTCTATGATGAATCTAGTCACTCTAGAGGAACGTAGGACTATGAAAGATCTGTTATTTCTAAATCTAAACTATTCGGATCTGTTACTTACTATGTTATTAAGAATTCCGTTAAAAGCAACTCAAAGCCTTGTTTTGTTTGAATTACCAAACCATACCGTTAATTGTGGTAATTTTAATCCAGTATCAATTCTTTCAAGGTTGAAATTTAGGAATTAGTTTTGCTCAATTGAAAAAATCATTTTTTCTGAATTTTTCACACCTAGTATCTACTTGACTTATATTGAATAGTTAGGTCGAGTTCTAATTAAATCAAATCAAAATATGCTTTATTACCGAAGATCTGAACATCTTATTGGCAAAGTCTAGTAAATTAAAACGTGTATATGGGACATTAAATTAACAAATATAAGCTATAAAATAATGCTAATGAGACAAGAGCAGAGTATATGAACGGAACAATATTAAGCCCAGCTGAACAGATATAAATATAAGTACATAAATATATGAATATTGAGTAAATATATAATGCTATGTAATGAACATTGATTGCCATTTCGTGTTGATTTCAATAACTTATTTACACAAAGCTACGTGCCAATTACTCGATAGAGCCTTGGTAGAATTCATCCACGCTATAATAGGGCATCCCAACAAGGAATCCTTTTACTTTCTTTCTGAATTTTTTTTCATTATATATTCTCCTTAAATTTATGGGAAGGTGATTAAATAACTTCTTGCTATTGAAAATAATAGAATTTTGTGTAAGGGCTAGAGTAGGTGTTGGAAGGGAAATGAAGTAAGACTGACGTGTACTATAAGTTGAGGTAGTATTAAATTGATTTTTATATTTTTGTGGATAAGACACACTGTTTCCAAAATAAAAAGACATACTAAGGCCAGAATTTTTTGCTTCACAAATAATGGGCGGCATGAATCCCTGTAGCTAGTCTTGCATAAATATCTGATGGATTTTTTTGTAGAGAGAATACCATATTGAAACATAATTGTGCACAATTTTACCAGAAACAAACTCCATAACGTTAATAGGACTCAATTTGTGCAAAATAAACTGATCTTGTAATAGTAGTATAAAAATATCTTGCAACACCTCTCACTGCATGACATCCTGCTGCTAGCTGAATTTGTATTTGTTTCTTCAAAAAAAAGGTATTATTTCCCGTCTACATAATTAAATATATTTCCTTCTTTTCAAACTATAAATTGTATATGTTTGGCTCTGTGAATTTTCCAATTTGATAAAATACAGAACATAATAAATAAAAAATATTGGTCTAACTTACCTAAATTGTGTATTGAGACAAGTATAATTGCCACAATCACTTTCATCTGACTTATCGCCACAGTCATCCTTGGCATTGCACAGATCCGAAGGATGGATACAGTGCCCATTCTTACACTGGTACTGACCAGGCATGCAATTGAACTTTGGACAATCCGCTGGCTCATCACTGCCATCTCCGCAATCGTCCTGGGTATCACACTTCCACCAGAAAGGAATGCATTTGTAACTCGATTTACATTCGAAATGGGCCAAAGTACAATTGGCTATACAACTGCGACCATCTTGGCCCAGGAGGTAGTTTTCTGGGCAAGCACATTTATAAAACGGTTCTTTAGGAGTCAACAGGCACAGAACTGAACAGTTTGCTGTTGAACAGGGACTTTTTTTAACTGCTGGTTGTCTGAATGGATGAACAACCTTAACATCCATCGGTCGATGAACTAATGAAAGAATGGTTTTACAGTCTTGGCCTGTGTGTTTGTTGCACCTGAAATGAAATTTGGATATTAATTGAAGAAAATAAAAAAAATATTTTGAAAAATTTGTTTTTCGAAACTAATATTTCCAAAAAGTTTTTTCTTTCAATTTATTAAATAACTTCAGTTCCTCATTCAGATAGTTTTAAAAATTTAGAGCGTTCCAGATAAAAAAAGTATAGTCGATAATGCCATGTTTATTTTAGTACTTTAGGTATTTGTAGGGTAAGAATATTGATAAGAAGACACTGTAAATTGAAACCGTATATGAAATCTTCTACATTGAAATATTTTTCAACTGTCTGTCTTGTCATGGGTTTTTCCAAAGGCATATTGTGAGCTGTGGAGGTACTGGAGCTCCTAAAACTATTTTTAAATTTTCAGGTAGCATCATCGGAAAATCCAATATAGTCTATACAAAGTCAATCCGAACAGCTGAATAAAAGACTAATTAATGTACCGGGTCTGATAAATTTACTAGTTATTAACATATAAAACCTTCCACATAAAAATAATGATTAGTCCTGGTAATTATACCACATCGCCTATGCCATAAAAAGAAACTGCCGACGTTCGGTAACTATTTAGTTTTTACACCATTGGAATTGACTTCATATATACTATAAATCCAGAGATTCGTTTTCCAGATAATCACCAGAAAATCACTTGATAAGATATTTATTCACCTTCAAAAATGTTTACAGAAAACAGTATGTTACAACAGTCACACAACAGTTTTTCGTTAAGGTACGTCATAAATTAAAATATTTAAGAATAAAAAAAATATGTTAGTGTATTAAAAATTAAATATTTACATGTATAAAACTAGTCACACATATACATATATGAAAAGTTTTAGATTTAGAGGCATATAGATGGAAAACATGGAAACATTCATCACAAAATATGTAGTCCACATTCTTGACAAGCAAAACATAATTATTCAGACCCATGAATGAAGAAAAAAATTAATTTATATCATATAGTGGATTCAATAGTAATGATTGTTTTAGTAAGTATTTTAATTTTATAGTTGTTTAATACTTCCATTCCACTGGTATTTGGTTGTATAGTTTCATTGGTAAATATTCAGTTTGTATTACTGTTTTTTCGTTATTTACTTTTGGAATCCTATTTTGATTTTTACCTCCTTGATAAATAAATCTTTATTGACCAAGTTATCCTATCTATTATAAAAATTACACAGCAAGTCAGTTGAACCGTATTCCTGCAACTGCCACATACAAACTTGGTATTTATATCAAAAGTTAACAATCTGACTGACTACTATTTACTAATTATTGATTGAAATTTCGTAGCTATGGTCGAATTTGGGTTCATAAGATTTAGAAGAAGAAGATCTAGAAGCTCAAAGTGCAACTAGCAAGATGAAGTTGGTTGTTCTATTTCCAATATATCAGTATATTTTCCGACAGTTCTTTTTTTAAGAATATTGTTTTATCACAAGAAAAAGTGGATGTTTTTTGTCATAAGCATGGATTTTGACAATAGACCAGTAGGGTCTTCAAACACACTGAAAAGAGTTCTTGATATAAAACAATTGGAATTAGTAATGATTTACTTTAAATTCCGGTGAAGCCAAGATCTGTAACTTTCACTGTAGCCAATACTAAAAGTAGAATCATAACCATAGTGATGATGATTTGAATTTGATAACTTAACGTCAACTTCAGTACAGAAATATAGTGGAAAAACATCATGCAGTTTTAACAAATTAGGATCGGTATTTGTTTTGAACTGACTGTTGGAATAATATTGGCAGTTATTTCATTTTGGCGCACTATTATTGTTACAGAATTTTAATTCATGTGTTCCACTGCAACATGGATAAATGGTATCATTCCTAGATTTGTAGGATTATGTTGGAATCGGTAGCATTTTTTACACTGTGTTAATTTTTAAACAGTGTCATCCAATATAAAGTTTTACATTATTATGGTCAAACATTTTCTTGACGAGTTTACCATCAACCTCAACATATATTGTATAAGATTGCCTTTTTTCAAAAAATTTCAGAAACTGAATGTTAAAATGATCTTCATTAATGAATTGATTATGGTTAAGAATTGGTTTTATATTGATATGATATCTTTTTGCACATCTCTCCTTGAAGTCTGTTCTTCTCTTCTTCATTTCTACACTGAATTTCTATTCCACAAATGTATGTATTTTCAACAGAACTCATTCCAATGTCAAGTTTAGTTACGTTTATACAATTTTACAAATCTCGTTTGTTTTTGCTGATGGTTGCCCCTGCTTCGGTTTTATTAAGATNCTTTTTTCTGGCATCTGAAAGCAGCAATTGCGTTAGTAGAGTTTCCCCAAAGGAGAATACCGTACGAAAGTACAGAATGAAAAAGGGAAAAGTAAGATATTCTCATAATATAAGGGTTCGTTACATGTTTTAACCTTCTCAGAACGAAGAGAGCACAAGAAAATTGCGAACAGCAAGGTCAAGATGATTTCTCCAGCTTAATTTGTCATCAATTGTAAAGCCTAGAAACGATACATTTGCCCCCTCGCGATAATTTGAATTTGTGAAGACAAACAAATTTTGGGTTTTTCTTTCATTCAATTTGAGTTTATTCTTCGTGAACCAAAGCTTAGCTGAGTTTTGTACTGTGGTGACGGAGTCTTTCAAGTTAGTGTAAGACTTGCTTGAGCAAATAATTGTTGTGTCGTCAGCGAATAGAAAACATTTAGTAGGTGCCATGGCGTGGCATAAGTCATTTATATACACAATAAATAAGAAAGGTCCCAAGATTGAACCTTGAGGGACGCCATGCTCGATTTTTTTGAAATCAGATTTTACATTGTTTAGCTCAACACACTGAAATCTGTTTGTAAGATATGAACGAAGGAGTTTCAGAGAAGTGCCCTTTATGCCATAACAACTTAGTTTTTCAATAAGTAGGGAATGTGAAACGCAATCGATGATTGATTCAATAGTAAATTAAGGTCAAGTTAATAAAACAATATGGTATTGTGACGGATTACAGACACCAAATAAGTGTTTTTAAATATGAATTCAAATATTATTGAGAGATATATTGAGTTACATATAAAAGTTTTCAAGATCACTAGTCATTTGTGATAATGAGTGAGTTCTTTACTTACTCGAAGAAAATTTCAACCGACCTTTCAAACTTAAATCCATACATTTGGAACAGAATTACTTTTTAATATGGAAAGGAAAATAATTTTTTATATTTCTATAGAAAAATGATGTCAAAAACGTAACTAACCTCTCTATAGTTTTTGTCTCCCAATCAGTCCAATAAATATTGTCCTCCCAAACATCTATAGAAAATACATGGTGCAGCTGTACATTAGGATTCTTTTGCCGACTCGTTATTATTTTGACATTTTTTCCATCCAAGTCTGACACTGCTATATAGTCTTCACGAGCATCAGCCCAGTATAGTTCGTTTGTTTCATACGAAATAGTTAGCGCATTAGGCCATCCAAGATTTGATGTAACTATCAATTTAGGGTCTGAACCGTCCATACCGGCCTTACCGATATGCACTCTGAATCCCCAATCAGTCCAGTACATATAGCCTTTTGTAGGATCTAATGCTATAGCTCTCGGTTCCTCCAAGCCCTTTGAGTGCAACACTCTTCGATATTTTCCATCCAAGCTTGACACTTCGATTGTGTCCAGACCCTGAAAAATACGACAAAATTGTAGAAAAAAAACCAGCAGGCTCAAGTCAATTGAAAAAAAATCACACAAACCTTATCACACCAATACAAGTTTCTCCCAATCCAATCAACTGCTAAACCATCTGGATTCTGTAGTGTTGGAGAGTGAAGTATCTCTACCTCCGTCGAGTTTTTCTTATAATCACAGAGCCGTTTTATTGAAGATCCAAACTTTGTCACGTCTGACCAATATATGCACTGACTTAACCAATCATAATCCAGAGCTACTCCATTTGTCAAATTATGAGCTAAGAGCGTACTGGTTCCTGTCAAATCTACTTCCCTAATATAATACCTATTTGCTAAAATCAGATTAACCTTAATAGTGGAATTAGCCTTGCAGGATTTTTTATCGTATTGTAGTATGTAATCTTTGTGACAACTACAGTGGTATGAACCTCGAGTATTTCTGCAAATCTGACTACAAGGTTTTTGTAAACATTCGTCGACATCGTCACAGTGTTTAGGATCTTTGGAACTAACTCTGAAGCCCAATTTACACATACATTCGTATCCGACGGGTTTATCTACGCAAATTTGAGCGCAAGGAGATGGTGTGGCAGAACATTCATCAATTCCTGGAAGAGATGGAACAAATTTGAAATGAAATCTATATCAACCTTTCTATCTTATGTCTCAAGAAGTAGTTAAGATATAATTGTTTTACTTACCGCATTTATTTTCGTCGGAAAAATCTCCGCAATTATTCTCCCCATTGCACAACAAGGTATCATTGATACATACGCCATTATCACAATGAAACCATCCTTTTTTCTTACAGTATTGGTCCTCGGTTTTCTCGCAATGTTTGCCTTCATCGCTACCATCTCCACAGTCATCTGTTCCATCACATTTCATACTCTCCAAAATGCAATTGTCATTGTCGCATTGGTATTCGCCGGTGGAGCAGGTTTTATAGCAGTCGTCAGGTTCGTCGGATCCATCTATACATTCGCGGTCTCCGTCGCAATAATATATTTTTCCTATGCACTGTCCATCTGAACAGCGGAACTGATTTTCATTGCAATTATTGAATGTGCAACCTGAAAAGTATTTTTTTAAACCGAATTCAACTTCAGGTGCTTTAGGTTACCCTAATGTACAAACGTTCATTAAAAATATAATACATAATGTACTTGTAATGTACTTTAATAAGTATAGATACAGACGCACTCAAACACATATATAAAAATATATCATCTTTTTTGCTATGCTGCAATAGCGCTTATTTGAATGTGTGAATAATTTTGTTGTTTCTCAAAGAACCAGGTGGTTTTTTAAATTCCACTTGTCCTCTGAAAAACAGACTATTCATTGCTGACATTGAGTTTGTCCTGCAAGCTTATACAGGTTGAATACCCTTCATTATTTTAATTATAAAAACCAATATTCGATAATGAGATCTACTTGATATGACATATACGATATGGGTTACCTTGTAATATATGTTCATCAGTATTATCTTGGCAATCGTCTTCTCCATCGCAAACCCATTTTAACGGTATACACCTTCCAGTATTGTTACACCTAAATTCATAATCGGTGCATGTAGTTTCTTGGCAATGGTCGCTTTCGTCAGACTGATCAGCGCAATCTGGATTACCATCACATTGCCAGGATCTGGGTATGCATTCGTTACTGCCACATTGAAAGTTATCTGATCGGCACTGTTGCTCTGAAATTGTGAATTTGTGGGTAAAGCATTTTTCACTGATTGAGTTCTTTAGATGTGACTGAAAATTTTCTTGGTAAGATCATCATAGTAAATTCCGTTGAAACCCTGGGTTAATTTTTTTGTGGAAAAATAGTTCAGAATAAGACACAATTGTTTTTTTTTTATAAATAAAACTATAAAAAAATATGAAAATAATATTAACATTAACCTGGCGTCTCTATTCAAAGTAACTAAATTTTGATTTGAAGATTTTCTCATTTTTGATATTCAGAAAACGTTAGTAAGCTCTGGGTTCCTACTTCTTATGTTATTATTATGTAATATGTAAGATAACTCACTACAATTCAACTCGTCACTTTGATCTGGGCATTCTGGAACACCATTACAATACAAAGATAGGGGTATACATGTGGAGCCACTCTCACACAAAAATTGATCATAACGGCACTGCATGTGATCTACAAATTATTTCAGTTCGTTATATCAATCATATTACAATAGAATAAGTTCAGGTAAATAGAAAATAATTTTCATACCTACTCCACAATTGATTTCGTCTGAACTAATTCCTTCATTACTGTCCATATCATTGCAATCAGGTACACCATTACAACGGACTGTTATATTTACACAAGCTCCATTAGCACAACGAAATTGTCCGTTCTCACATACTTGATTCACAATGGTACAATTAGTTTCATCTGAATTATCCCAACAGTCATCATCCCCATCACAAAACCAGTCTTTGTGTATACAAGTAGTGGTGAACTTACAGTTGACAAAGTCTTTTCCGTGCTTTGCTGTGCAATTCGGCATAGCTGAGAAAAATAATATATAATATAAAAACATCGACTTTCACGGCAGGAGTCACGATTAAAGAGAACAAAATCCGGGTTGGTAGGCTATGGTGAATGGAAACTGAAGTACCAAATGACTGCTACTGTGACAGTCACCATATGAAGTATGTGCTTCAACTGCGAGGACGAAAGTCTCATCAACTCAGTCGTTGCTGAGACTTTGATACGAAACATTTCGTACTTCAGGATCCATTCGGTCATAGCCTATTAGCCCGGATTTTCTTCTCGTAAACCAATTTTCTTGACTGAACTTTCGATATTTATCTTGAAATGTTTCACTTTTTCCCATAGAAATATGAAATATATTTGTCACAAATTCGGATATTCATGGTAGAGATATCCACTATGGGAACCTATTAAGAATTCCCCCGCGTAAAACGGCTCATTTTAGATGCTTTACTATTTACTGCAATAAACTGTTATAATAACTTGCTTGTCATCTATCAGAAAAATTGAGTCAGAAAAACGTTTCAAGATTGAGGCAAATAAACTACTCCTATAGAAGTGTTGCTACATACAGTCTTGAGAAATTTTTGCATGACATTTTGAAAGCATTTGGTAGTAGACATTCTTCTCGGTTTGTAAGACGTTCATTTATTTATTTATTTACGGACTTGCCACTTTACAATAAACAATAAATAGTGTGAGAAAAATAAACAATTGTACAATAATATAGAAATAGAATATTAAGAATACAAAAAATCAATTAATTATTAATAATAATCAGCAGTTTCTTCATAAGCCATGCCATAGTTAGTAGAATGGTAAGGAACTTCAACTACGACACTCTGGTTCTTCTTGAGTTTACATTGAAGTCAATCAGTTGTGTTACATGTGTGTTACATGTTCATATCAACATTTATAACTTTGTGAAGAAGTCTTAAATCAATTTCAGCTTGGCGGTGTTTTAAAGAAGATAAATTCAAAAGTAGCAGAATATCAAAGTACTCATAATCGGGCCTCTGATATCAGAGCTTGAATGCTCATTATATCAAAGTTTTTCTATCCTAGATATATCTGCCTGATATAAAGGACTCCATATCATGCAATTACTTTCCAATACAATATTTTATAGGTATTTGTATCTCTAGAAAGGCTAGTACCCTTTTTGACACGTTTTTCAATCACTTTCGAGCCTAAGGCGGTGTCATTTCAATAGGTATGTTTCGATCATTTTGCTATACACACACACACACGAGCTTGAATGCTCATTATATCAAAGTTTTTCTATCCTAGATATATCTGCCTGATATAAAGGACTCCATTTCATGCAACTACTTTCCAAGACAATACAATATTTTATAGGTATTTGTACAAAAGTTTTCTGTGGATTGTTGAACAAAATATATTTATTTTATGAATTTGTGTTATGAAAGTTTTGTTGACGTAAATTACATCTATTGTGTTTTGTTTTTTCTGTAATGTTTTGCTTTTTTTGTAGTTTTGACCTAGCACATGTACTCAGGGTGATAAAGTGTCAAATGAATGAATACATTAATATTGAACTATAATCAATATATTTTTTATTCAATATATAACTTACCACAGCCAATTTCATCAGATTTATCTTGACAATCTGGTTCATTGTCACACCTTTGGGATATATCAAGACATTCCCCATTTTTACACCGGAAATGGGTTTCTTCTGGACAAGAACAATTGTGTTCATCTGTAGAGTCACCACAGTCATCAATTCCATTGCAAGTCAGATTGGCAGAGATACACATTTTATTCAGACATGGGAACCATCCTAAAGGACAGGTGCGGTATCTGTAAAAATGATTTCATTAATGCACTGCCAAAGTACAATTGGCTATACAACTGCGACCATCTTGGCCCAGGAGGTAGTTTTCTGGGCAAGCACATTTATAAAACGGTTCTTTAGGAGTCAACAGGCACAGAACTGAACAGTTTGCTGTTGAACAGGGACTTTTTTTAACTGCTGGTTGTCTGAATGGATGAACAACCTTGACATCCATCGGTCGATGAACTAATGAAAGAATGGTTTTACAGTCTTGGCCTGTGTGTTTGTTGCACCTGAAATGAAATTTGGATATTAATTGAAGAAAATAAAAAAAATATTTTGAAAAATTTGTTTTTCGAAACTAATATTTCCAAAAAGTTTTTTCTTTCAATTTATTAAATAACTTCAGTTCCTCATTCAGAT